GAGGCTGCGGTGGCCGGGAGCGGCCACTGCACTCCAGTCTGGGCGACCGAGTGAGACTCCAACTCAAAAAAAAAAAAAAGAAAGACTAAGGAGATCATGGTTTCTACACATTTTTCACCACAAAAGCACAAAACAAAGGGATGCTAATCGCCAGCTTTTTAAAATGGTCTCAAAACGTCTTTGTTTTGTTTTTATGCTAAAATCTTCACAACTCAGTATGACAACCCAGTTTGGCAACTAGCGACACAGGCCTTTCACAAACGAAGAAGATACACAAATGGCTACGAAGCACATAAAAAGATGTTGACCATCACTCGTCACCAGAGAAATCCAAATTAGAGCCACAAGGAACAAAAACAAAGCAGCTAGAAGGAAAAAGATGACAGCCGCAGGTCTGGCGAGGACAAGCAGCTGTGGCTCACCAGCTGCGGGCGGGAGGTACAGTGGGACAGCCGCTGTGAAGAGCCGGCTGGCTGCTGAGACAGCTCAGAAGTTAGGAGAGTTAAGGACACACCTATCCTGTGACCCAGAAATTCTACTATTATGTATGTATTTGTTGACCCATGAGAAATGGAAACAAATGTCCATAAAAAGACTCCTGACACAAACTGCATAACAGTTTTACTCACAAGAGCCAAAGCCAAGAACGACCCAGATGCAAACCGGCAGGTACACGAACAAACAAGCTGCGGTGTATCTACACAGTGAACACTACTGAACAACACAAGTGACCGCCGATCCGTGCTGCCACACAGCTGAATCTCACAGACATAATGCCGAGTTCAGGAAGCCAAATACAGCTCCACTTATAGGAAACTGCAGAACAGGAAAAACTCATCTGTGGCGACTGAAAGACCAGGGCTACTCTGGAGGGAAGACGGGCCACAAAGGGCCGTATGCAGACCCCGCAGGTGGAGACGGAGTTCCACACTTCAGCTGGTGTGGCAGCCTCTCCTGTGTCTAAGTCTGTCCGAGCTACACTGAGCACTTAAAAGCTGTGCCTTTGATTACACATAAATTACACCGCAACACAATTTTCTAACTTTAAAAATGGTTACGTGTGCTGCATTTCCCCTGTGGCATACTTCTGTCTAGCTGTAAGATCCTGTGGGGATGGCTTTGACCAGTGCAACATGACTGACTCGACATTCACAAGCAGCAAAGTCCTGATGACGAAAACCACAAACATGCCAACTGCTGCCGCTCCGCTTCCGCCTATTCAGCCTCAGCGGAGCATCTGCTTGCCTCACCTCGCAGAAGCCCAGCCCCAGGCCACACGCTGGACCAGGGCCCCAGGACCGGCACACAAGTCTCAACCCATCGAACTCCGCGGCGCTCCTGGAGACCCAGCTTGAAAGTCACCAGCCCCCGAAAGTCTCTCCCAGTCTTCCCTCATCCTTCCAAAGTCCCAGCCTCGCTCCAAGCCTCCTTCCGATCAAGCAGCCATCCCATGCCGAGCTCTAGCACTTGGACTCACCACGGCACGCTAGACAGATCTGTTTCGTGTCCGTCTTCCCACTCTACAGAGACCTCTGAAGACAGCAATGTCGTGTTCAGCTCTGTATCCCCAGCATCCGGAGCACAGAAGCTGGGACAGGTGGGCATTCAGCAAATGGTTTTGAATTCATTCATCCATCTTCCCTACACAGATTTCCAGGCAGAGCAATACTAAAACGAACACTAGACTAGCAGAGTCAGGAAGTCGAGCCCACTTCATATTTTGAACCTCAGACTGCCTGGCTGTCTGACCATCATCTGCTCGTCCCATCTGTGTTACTGCCTGCCTTGTGGGAACACTGAGCTTTGGAAACAACTGCACTTAACTTCAACGGCAATGCAGCTTTCGAAAGAAACACTGTGTGCCAGGTGTGGTGACTCACACCTATAATCCCAACACTTTGGGATTACGAGGCAAGAGGACTGCCTGAGCCCATGGGCTCAGAGACCAGCCTGGCCTAAACAACAAGACCTCGTCTCCACAATAAACAAAAAAATTAGCCGGGTGTGGTAGTGCACACCTGTGGTTCCAGCTACTTGCAAGGCTGAGGCAGAAAGATGGCCTGAGACCAGGTCAAGGCTGCGGTGGCCGGGAGTGTGCCACTGTACTCCAGCCTGGGTGACAGAGAGAGACTCCAACTCAAAAAAAAAAAAAAAAAATGTGTGTTGCTTTCATTTCTATGATCCAATTAAGATAAAGATGTGCCTGATGAGAAAAACATTACTCAAAGCATTATTGTTCATCAACTGATTTGTTTTCACAAGAAAAAAAAATGAACTGTTGGCGTTCCACTCAGAGGATTGTTTACAATCTCAAAATATGGTGTGTCGATCTTAGAAGATGTAACTCACAAGTGCATTCTTCCACATCTTCAAACAACAGACTGGACAATAAATTATATATTATTAATGTGGACGGAAGACAACAAGACTGCACTGTCTGCTCAAATAGAAAAACATCAGGTGGAAGATGTCCAACAAATTACTGTTGAACTACATGTATCAAGGGACCTGCAATGTATGTCAGTGATGGTCTCACATGTTACCACACGTTAGAAAAATATAAGATATAGAATTCTGACTTTTTGGCTGTAAATAAGTTTTTCGATGTCCAAAATTCCATTATAAGCCAAATATCTTTACAATAAAATAAGTTGGCTCCAATGCTGTAATATTTAATATGAAGTGATTCAGATTTCACTATTTTGTAAAAAAGTGTGGTCAAGTTGTTGGTAGGTGATCCGCAGTCTCTGAGTGCACAGGGTTAATTATTCAAGTTTCATTTAAATAACTAACAAACATTACTCAATTAACACTACTTAAGCAGATAATGACACCCCACAAATAAATACTTCCAAGCCTAAGCTCACATCAATGTTATCAAGATTTTGTTATTTCAAAGCAGAATATTTTAAAACTCCATTTATGTTCAACAGTCATTATATGTTTCAGTGAATAACAAGCGACATTACTGATCCCTACCTAACACAGTATGCCAGACATCAAGCTACATGTTTTTCACACACTAATCTATTTAATTCTCATTTTTCAAAAATTATGGTACATGTATTACCATTCGTCCCATTTTATCTATAAAGAAACTGAGGCATGGAGATGTTAAGTAACTTACCCAAAGCCATAAACCTAGTAAAAGTCACAGAATTAAAACTAGAACCCAAGTCTGACTCCAAACTCATGTTTCTTGCCACTGCACTAAACTACCACTAAACATCCTGTTTTCATATACATTGAATGAAGTTTCTGGAAAAGGCACCAACTATGTTTAAACAGCTCTTTGGATCAAAGCAAAGTCCAGAAGAATGTGATTGGATGCTTGCTAGAATACAGAAAGTAGACTTCTTTGTCTTCCCATAAATCTCTGTTGTTCGTGACTTCTTGAGGTATACCAATTTACTAATTTGTCATACTGCCCAACACTGAAAGAATTCTCTTCCAGATGCTACAATTAAGACACAATCCCAGCCGGGCTCAGTGGCTCAGCCTGCAATCCCAGCACTCTGGGAGGCCGAAGCAAGTGGATTGCCTGAGCCCGTGGGTTTGAGACCAGACAGGGCAACTTGGCGAGACCTCGTCTCTACAACAAAAATCCAAAATTAGACAGGTGTGGTAGTGCACGCCTGTAGTTCTGGCTACTCGGAAGGCTGAGGCGGAAGGATCGCCGGAGCCCAGCAGGTCGAGGCTGCAGTGGCCGGGAGCAGCCACTGCACTCCAGTCTGGGTGACAGAGTGAGACTCCAAATCAAAAATAAAAAAGTCACAATCCTGGCCGGGCTTGTTTGCTCAGCCTATAATCCCAGCACTTTGGGAGGCTGAGGTGAGTGGACTGCCTGAGCACACAGGTTCAAGACAAGCCTGGGCAACTTGGTGAGACCTTGTCTCTACAATAAATCAAAACTAGCCGGGCATATTAGTGCATGCCCGTAGTTCCAGCTACTTGTAAGGCTGAGTCAGAAGGATCGCCAGATGCTGGAGTGGCCGTGAGTATGCCACCGTACTCCAGCCTGGGCGATGGAGTGAGACTCCAACTCAGAAAAAAATAAAAAAAGATACAACCCCTTATACTGTACAGTTAAATTCATCAGGGAGTCCTTTAATACTCTCTGAAAATATACACATGTGAATTGGGAGTATATATGTAAGGGTAGAGAAGACAAGAAGCAGGTATGAAGGCCTACGGCACACAAGGACTAGGAGACCGGGGTAACATCTAGCAATAGTTCCTCACCAACAGTTCAGATTCCAAACGTGTAACGCCTTTGTCTTGTTCCTTACCAGAAGTTTGCTTTAACTATGCAACTTCCATGGAAGTTCAGCAATAACAAACATGACAATGGCCTTGTTCTAAACAGAGAGGGCATTCCTGACCGTGATGGCATGAATCACGCTCGCACTACCAACCTGGTCAATATTGAGGCGGAGCGGCATCAGGGACACCCTCAGGCAGCATTCCTGCGGCGACCTGCCAGATTCTGGACGCACATGCAAGGCTTTCACTGTCAACTACAAGACAAGAAAGCAAAAGCATTTCCCCACAATGACACGATGATCTTGTTCTCACCAAAAATGAGAACAAAATACAAAGAAAGAAAAATCCCTGCTCCTATTCTACATGAGAGCAAAGGTGGAACTGTTATCCTCTTTTCTTAAGAGTCTGAATTAAACTTTTTTGGGCTGCACACCCCCTTCGAGAATCTGACGAAAGACAGGGACTCTCTTCAGGGGGGAAACCACAAGGGGAGAGCGCGGTACTTGCGGGCTCGCAGGAATTCACCAAGACCCCGAGTTACTCCGCAGACCCCTTTGCCAAGTCACTTTTATGGCGAACCTTCTGAGTCCTGAGCTGATCATGTCTACCTTACTAAAATGTAAGAAGTGTTAGAAATCTGAAATGCTTTTAGCGATACTTCCAGCAATACCAAATATTTTGTAGAGATCACTATGGACTTCTGGTTTTCTTCAGATATTGACTTACTGAGGCAATTATAGTTAACGGATCCTAGAAGTGACATGTGAAATAATTTTTTAAACAGAAAACTTTAAGCAGCACATTTAAGAGATTGTTCATATTAAAATGAGAAAAAAATATCCGGTAGTTTCCCCCCTCTCCTGCAGTTTGACACAATAAAAACATTTTTCCAAAGCTAATAGAACAACAACAAAAATAGGGTTTTACATCTCACCATGTTGGAATGAGCTTTCCGAGGCATTTCTTTACTGCAATACAGGTACAAAAATTTATTCATTTGTGATGTTGCCAGACGATCTCGAATCTCAAGATCCTGAACAATGAACACCTGTCGAGAGACTGGGTGTTCTAAGAGGCTGGAATCGCATTCTGGCTTGCATGGGGGGTACACTTCATGCTGAAACTTCACCTTGACAGATAAGAAGGAACACAGAGCAATCTTTATATCTTTTTTAGATTAGATTTCCTCTTTAAAATGCAAAATATCACTGATCATTTCCTTTTAATTCTATCCCAGCTTACAATTCCACTTTCAAAGAGCTCAACACCATGACATCCCCTCATTTGTTCACTCCTTCATTGATCTACAGTGACCTCCGCTGTCTGAGGTTTATGCTTTCCTTGGTTTCAGTTACCCGCTGCCAACTGAAGTCCGAAAAGATTACAGCTAATTTGAGACAGAGAGAGAGACTACATTCACATAACTTTTATGATGTACTGTAATGAATTTCTCAGTGTGCCTAATTTAGAAACTAAACGTCATCACACACATATATATATACATAGGAAAAAGCACAGTATATGCAAGGCTCAGTGCTACCTGCAGTTTCAGGCACCCACTGGGGGTCTTGGAGTGTATGCCCCGTGGATACAAGGGGGCTACTGGATGGTGCCCCACCACACAGACAAGCATGACTAGCTGCGAGGCAACGGCCTGGACATGGCCTCTTTTCTCCTCCTGTGCCCTCTCTCTGGCTTCGCTCAGCCTCTCCGGCCAGGGCTGGTCTCCAAAGGGTGTACCCGTGTCTCAGTGATGAGCAGGGAGGGCGACCAAGCAAAGCTGAAAGTAATGTGGGTGCCACATTCCGTGTAATGAATGTGACTGTGAACACCAGATAGAATTTGACTACCTGACTTGCTTATCTATAAAACTGTTTGCTGTACTGCCCTGAGATGTGGACTCTCCTGCACCAACGTGCCGCCATCAGTACCTCATGGGCAGTTTCTTTCCTCACCAACCTGCTGCTGTTGGTGTCTCATGGGTGGTTTCTTTCTGCCAACCCATCACCACTGGTGCCACATGGGTGGACCCTCTCCCTCACTGGCTAGCTGCCATCACTGTCTCCTGTCAGTACTAATAAACCAGTGTCTTTCCCTTCTGGACCTCCAGGTGACTTCTTTGAAACAGGCAAAGAACTTTATGTACAAGTCCTCTCAGATCTGGGGCTGTTGTGTTACATCATTTCTTATCTGACTGATCAGATCCCTGATCCTTTTCAAGGAAAATCCTCAACAGGAATAAGACACAAAGTTATCTTATATACCTAAGAAAGGGCTTAAAAATGAGTCAATGGAGGAAGCAAAAAGGGGCAAAGAGATGACTGAATCTATGGGACTGTCATCACGACACTATTTCTATGCTAACTGCCCTCACATATGGCGCCTGGTCCAATCTCAGACTTGAGAGCATATGACGCCGCCAGAGGGTCGCAAAGGACCTGCCACGTGCACTGTCCCACCACAGGCCTTCCCAGTCAGGGCAGTGGTTCCTGAGGGTCCTGGGAAAAGGGATCGGCACCACCTGAAAACTACCCGCAAGTGCAAATTCTTGGACCCTACCTCAGACCTACTGAATCAGAAACTCCGGGGTGGGCCAGAACCCAGGGCATGCTGAGCTTGCTCAACTCCAGACCACTGCTCTAGGGAGAGACTGGGAAAAGAAAAGAAAAACACCTCAGTCATCTCAGAACATCTGAGAAAGAAAAAGAGGTAAGAGTTTTATACAAGATCCCTGCACTCTCTGATCTGAAGGGTCGGGACTTAATGCTCAAGACCATTCAGCGGGAGGTTACCAGAGAACCCCCACTAATGCTCCTACTTAAGTAGACTTTTCCTTTCAAGACGCCGACTTACCTTGCTTAACTGTATTTCCATCAAAAAATCATGGTTCCTTCCTTTTCCGCCACATACCATACCACGTCCATGTCTTGTGGGCGTGTGAGAAGGCGAACCGTGGGGACTACTAAAAATAAGCCAAAAATGAAAAAAAAAAAAAAAAACCTCTGTTAAAGAAATATCCAAAGAAAACCAGTGAATAACATCATGAAAAAATGATAAGATGAAAGAGAAAATAAGATTACAGAACTATCAAGATGTTACCACAAATTATATTACTACCAATCAAAATCATGCTTTATACATTGGAGACACTGTAAACATGCATTTTATCATCACATTAGCATAATCATGTGCTTGCTAAATACTCAGAACTATAGAAAAAGCTACTTATGATGCTGGAGGCCACATCACAGGAGACACTGAGAAATGAGACCTCCTTATAAGTTTTTTGTTACTTCAGAAACCCTCAGAGCACAAATTCTATAAATCCCAATTAATACAGGAAAGAATTACAGTAGCGAGAAGCATTTTAAAATCACTTTTAAGTAGAAAAAGTTGCTGAACTATTGTACCAAATGTTACTGCTCCACAAAGCCCCACATGCCCTGTCCCACCCCAATGAGAAAGTCTGCCCTGCACCTGTTCCATATACCTGATTCCCTTCTAGGACTACCAAGCATTGCACCCATCTCACACGTGCTCAGTGAGTGCCAGATGGCGGGGGTCAGGGCATGCCCGGCCCGGCCTTCTCACACTCACTTCACTTCACTGCCCTCATCTACTCTCATGACTGTTTCTTCCCTTAGAAACGAGGACAAGGTCTGGGTCTTATTCATTTTTATAAACAGGCACATGGTAGATATCTGAATATTTTTGCTAAATGAAAATCATCTGTCAATCTTTAGTAAAAATACAAACACTGCCAGGTGCGGTGGCTCAAGCCTGTAACTCCAACTCTTTGGGAGGCAGAGTTGAGAAGACTGCCTGAGCCCAGGAGTTCAAAAGACCAGTCTGGGCAACCCGGTGAGACCTCATCTCTACAATAAATCAAAAAATTAGCTGTAGTTCCAGCTGCTTGCAAGGCTGAGGTGGAAAGACTGCCTGAGACCAGCTGTGGTGGCTGTGTGCATGCCACCACACTCCAACCTGGGCAACAAAGTGAGACTCCAACTCAGAAAAAGAAAAAAAAATACAAACACTACAAATCAGTTCACAAATAACAAACTCTAAAATTGACACTTAGATTGCATCGTTTTTAATATTACTTTCTTAATAATTCTTAAAATAACAAAGGTATGTATTTTTCCAAAAAAAGAACACACTGGCCCACCAAGTAAACTTGTGTAGGGATTGAACTTACATGTGACTTTTAGCTGGCGAAGTGGGAGGGGCTGTTCCAAAATCCTTTCCTCCGTAAAGGTGCCACACAAGAGAGACCTCCTTCACCACATACCGGACGACGGGGACAGGAAAGTGCAGCGGGGCTTTGCTGGTGTCTGTCTTCCTAGCCGGCAGGCTAAAGTAGTTGTCTCTGATCACAATCGCGTCATCAACCATGATTTTTATGACTGGCTCTTCCTCCTTCTCCTAAGATAAACAGACAGGTAGCATGTTTGTACTTACCACACTAGCAACAACTACGATGCTGCATATCCACAGAGGCGTTCTTGATTCTACATCTCTCACAACTTCAATGTGGAAAATGAAGCAATAATCACTGACGTTGACCTTCATATAAAATATTCTGCTTTATTAACCATAAGACGTACTCTCTTTCTGTTCTATGAAAATCTCTCCATAAGTATTTTTTATAGTTTACAGTTTGGCTCTCACTATTTGATAATAAAGGCACAGGTTTAGTGTGTGTGACTGCATGTGCATTGGCGTTTAGTTTAAAGTCAATACTGCATTCCAAGCCAAACTTGAAAAAATTTCAACATACTGATCAAATTACCAAGTTTCTAATAATAGGTTTACTGAGTTTGATTGCTTTGATTTTTTAAATTTAACCAGAAAGTTCTTAGAGTTTAGTAAATAAATACGGCCACTTACTGGATAGGTACTATGGAACAGTGCCCCCACACCCTCCGAGAAAAGAAAATACACATCTATAGAAAGAGAGAGAGAGAGAGAGAGAGAGAGAGAGAGATCGATCTCATCTCACCTCTACAAGCACATCCACACACATTCACACACAAAACTTCAGTCTTCACACACATCTTATCCTTCCCAACGCTTGGACTCTGAACAGTCAGTCATCTTAACCACATACATCTGTAGTTCAATAATCTATGTCAGGAATTTTGCAAATATAAAGCATCTTCTTGGGCTCTCTGAGAGATGTGTCATAGAAATAGTAAAGTATAGCAACCATTTACAAAAGGTCAGTAGTAAATTATAAAACAAAGTAATTCTGAACCATTAAAAGGTAATAAAACCGGCAGTTTTTCCTCTTTGAAAAACCCGCCCACGGCAGGTCTCTCCGCTGTGAATCTTCCGTTTTCCTTCTTCTCTTTTTCTTGCTAATAAACTTTGTTTTAAAAAAAAAAAAAGTCAACAAAACCTAAAGAATCTTCTTCCGGTTCCCTTTAGTCAATTTAATTGTAAGCATTTTAAGGCCTCGACGACGTTATTATTACCTGGACGGCTGCTTTTGGTGCAAAAAGAATGCAAAAGTCATCGCTTTCCGTGGGTCCACCTGTTGCATCACTAACCAAGTGATGAGTGAACGAGGTGTACGCAGGGCCTGGCTCCTGGGACACATTCCCACTCTCATCTGGAAACAGGAAGAGGTCTGAACAGCACGGTTCCTGGATGTGACACTTTTCATCCAAAACTCCTAGATCAAAAGATTGCAAAATTGTGTTGGACACACTTTGAAATGTCAACAACACATTTTTTAACTGTCAGTTAGTTACATGTTGAGTGCTTCTACCTGTAATAACTCATTTATTCCTCAAGATCACCCAGCAAAGCTGAAGCTTAACTAGAGCTCCCGTAACATGTCTAAAAACCCCTCAGCAAGAGGCAGAAATACACCAAAGATCACTAATAAAAAGATTACCAATAAATCTGACATTCTCTAAGAAAAGTCAATGGCTGGGCATAGTGGCTCACGCCTGTCATCCCAGCACCTTGGGAGGCAGAGGCAAAAGGATTTCTTCAGCCCAGGAGTTTGAGAGCAGCCTAGGCAACAAAGCGAGACCTCACTTCTACTGATTAAAAAAAAAAAAAGAAAAGAAAAAATTTGTGCTGGACGTGGTGGCTCATGCCTGTAATCTCAGTACTTTGGGAGGCTGAGGCAAGAAGATTAGCTGAGCCCACGGATTCGAGACCAGCATGGGTAACTCGGTGAGACCTCGTTTCTACAATCAATTAAAAAATTAGCCAGGTATGGTGGCGCAGGCCTGTAGTTCCAGCTACTTAGACGGCTAAGGAGGAAAGATCACCTGAACCCAGCAAGTCAAGGCTGCGGTGGCCATAAGCATGCCACTGCACTCCAGCCTGGACAACAGAGTTAGACTCTGACTCAAAAAAAAAAAAAAAAAAAAAAGTAAATTTAAAAACAAACACCAGAAGAGTAAATGTTGGCGTCATAAAGTGAAGACCGTGCTCCCAGAGAGCCAGTGCGGCAGAGGCTGAAGAGCTCTGCAGCAGCTTGTTGCTGTGGCCAAGGCTTGCTTCAGCCAAGACGCCGCCGTGCTCACTCCGTCCCAGCTCTGGAAGAAACTCCTTGGGCAATGTGGCAAGGGGTTATACCTAGCAGAGCCTACCTAAAACTATAGGAAACCTCTGCGTGAGGGAAGGGGGAAGAGTAGCAAGCAAGCCTCAGGCTGGAGAGGAAGGCAGTGACTCCAAGCTGTGAAAAGATCACTTCTTGGGGCACTGGATACGCAAACTGCAACCTGGCTTCAGAGAGCTGCCTCAGGACAGAGCTCCCAAAAGATGCATGTGCACTGAAATCTGTATGTGAACATCTATTTTTATACATTCATATTGCACACTAGAGTCACTAATTCCTTCCCTATTCACTCAAACCAAGCACAGTGATGGGAGTTGAGAACACCAAGATGAATAAAGTGAAATTTTGGTCTCAAAGACTTACAGACTAGATTTTTATTTATTTCATTTGAGTGGAAGTCTCACTCTGTCACCCGGGCTGAAGTGCAGTGGCTGAATCCTGGCTTGCTGCAGCCTCAAGCTCATGGATTCAGGCTATCCTCCCACCTCAGCCTTTCGAGCAGCTGGGACTTCAGGCCTGTAGTTCATGCCCAGCTAATTTTTTGATTTGTTGGAGAGATCAGTTCTCACTATGTTGCCTAGGCTGGTCTCAAACTCCTGGGCTCAAGCAATCCTCCCATTTCGGCCTCCCAAAGTGCTGGGATTACAGGCATGAGCCATGGCACACAGTCCACAGACTAGCTTGGCTGACTCATCCTTATAGGTGTCCGGTGCCGAATCTTGTATGTTGAAGCTGCTATAATCATTAAATATCCTTTCCCATGTAATTAAGATAGCTGCTAATATTTACTACAAATAATGTAGTGCATAGGAAGCTAGAGGTCTCAGTTCACCTCCTTAGTTTGAATGTACCCTAAATTAGAATGAAAGCAACTTTCAGTGCTAGACTTTTAAAGCACCATGAAATCATCTCTTAATTAAAATTTCACAATACAGAGAAACGGCTGTGTCCACTGAAATAGAAAAAAATGTTTTGGAACAGAGGCTTCAAAACGTGTCGATGCTTCCATTTGGTTTTCAAGGCTCTCTAATCACCCGGCCCCTTCCTGCTTATCCAACTTCACTGTCTAACTCTTGCCAAGAAGAAGGGAACTTTTGTTCTACAACAGCCTGAAAGTCATGGCTCAATAACTGGGGCTCACGCCTGCCTTTTTCTGTGCTTAATGAACTTGTCGAGATTACCTTCTCCCCCTCTCTTTACACACCTAAATCTTATCCACTTTGTCAAAGCCAGTCCATCTCACTTTTACTAAAGTCTAATGCAATTCTTTTAGTCCTTTCCAAATAGCAGTAGAGCATATACCACAGCTGAAGTGTTTTCTCGTAGCATTTATCAGTCTAAGTAGCAGCACAGTCCAGTGCCACTGGCTTTACTAGGCTATAAGCTCCCAGCCAACACAAGCTCTGCCTTCCATCTACCGTGCATTCCCTCCACCACCCTGGCCAGAGTCACCCATCTACTAGACACTCAACAAACACACGCTGATGGACTGACAGATATCCACCCAAACTCAGATGTGACTTCTCTTTAAGGAGTCACTTACCAAGTTCCTGAGAACAAAGACAACGCAGGCCCCAACCACGCACCCGTGGTCCCAGAGCAAACGTCTGGCCTTACCGTGGGCCTGCGGCTTCGCGGACGCGGCGGCCTGCTGCGCGTCCATCTCCTCCATGGCATCGCTCATCAGGTCTCGTAAAACCTGCTGGTCGGCTTCAGCACCGCTGGGATCCGCCTACAGCCAGAGAGCCTAACTTCAAATAACTGGAAACGCTCTTACGAAACAAACTACTGACACTTGTTTTATCCTAGAAACATGCTACGTTCTGCAAAAACACCGGAAGTAGGGACCCGCTCATTTTTCCACGACCAGCAGCTGCTGTACTTGCAAGTTTTCAGCATCTTCATTACCACCCGAACAACTACTAGCAGAGAGAAATAAATGTGTCATCGCCTCAAAGCCAGTACTGTGACCTGGAACCCTGAAAAGGCAATGCATCGAAAAAGGGGGAAGTTGGAAACGGCAGTAATGCTGGGGGAGGGGATACCTCTACCTAAATGAGTTTGGTTTTCCCAAATCCTCTGAGACAAAGCAACTGTGGGTCAAAGCCTCACTTCTCAGACACCTAGGGACAGTCAAGGCCCACCCAGCAGGGGAAACCCACCAAACAGTGAGTCACAGGGTTCAACTTCAGCACCAGTACCATTCTGGTTAGGGAACCACATATTCATTCAATCCAGACCGCGCTTTTTATATGTGAGCATGACTCTAAGGTGGAATGATCCACATTGAAAGGAGTCATTTAAAATAACTTTTAATAAGCTGGAGAATGTTTTCACAAAGAGAATAAATAGTAGAGAGGGAGTGCCAAAAATCACCTCATTATCAGTAAGAATACAGCAGGAGCCAGGCATCACCAACAGAAGTGTTACACAAATGACGTGTAAAATAATCCTGAACTAAAGATAACGATCACAGTGCCAGTCGGCCCTTACTGGAGTACATGACAGAGGCCGCGTAACCTAAGGGGATTGAGAATTCTAGCACAGAAGAGGCCCTGAAGGAAACAACACTGAAAAAGAAAAATGCTGAGCTGGACATTGTTCGAGCTGGACATACAAGAGACGTCAGAAAGATGGCATCTGAGACATAAAAAAAGCACTAAACTGAGAAACAAAATATCTGGGTTTGTTGCTATTTTTGCTACTAATTAGGGCAATCACTTACATTCTCTGGGCCTTAACTTATCATCTGTAAAACAGAGGAACTGATCTTTAATTTAATCTTTAACCTCTCTATCTCACTAGGTTGTCATGAAAGGAAAAGAAAACCATACATGAAAAAGTATTTACACAGGATATCCAGAAAACTGGATGGATAGTCTTAGAGATAACAAGTAGGGAAACATATGATAATATAAACACATCTTCTGGTAACAATACTTAACACCTGCCATCTACCTATTCATAGCATGCTTATATACAACTTGCATAGGACTAGCTTTTGCCTAAAAACGTACTCTTTCTTCCCTGAAGACAGATGAAAATAACCTGTCTGAGAAAAAAGTATTATGTTAGTTCAGCTTAGTGTTCTGAAACAGAGAATATCAAACAGTAAAATGATTTTCCAAAAAGGCCCATGGAATCACCTTTCCAGACCCTATTACTCTGAAGGTAAAGAAGAGATGGATGACTTTTCAAGTTTCTCTTCCACCTTGTGCCTGTCATGAAGACCTCAATGATGCCAGCATGTCACGACAAGGTGGGGACTGAGGTCAGCACCGTGGACTGTACCTTCGACTTTCTTTGAGGGGCTCCAGGCTTCACTTCTGTCTTGTTAGGCGCATGCAAGTCTCCGTAGCTTGCAATGTACTGAATGAGGTTCATTAACGCAGCACAAGAGTCTGAGCATGTTCTGATATGGACAATATCGCTGGAACAGTGTAACTCAAAGCGGGGCTCAGTCTGGACAGAGACACAGAAAAAAAAAGATGAAAATGCTTTCAAGAAAAAGAGACTAAAATTCTTTTTATTACACAGATTCACATTTTAAAAGATATAATAATAATCTGTCTTGCCACACGAAAAAATGTCTCTATAATAACTCAATTTCAATTTTAACATATTTATCTGTTTTGACTAAAATTAGGTAAGTGGAAAAATTTCATGGTCAATTCGGTTTTTTAATATTTTTACTTTTCATTAGTTTGAGTCAGGGTCTCACCCTATCACCCAGGCTGGAATACAGTGACATAATCATGGCTCGTTGCACCCTCAACTTCCTGGGTTCAGGAGATCCTTCTGCCTCAGCCTCCCCAAGCGGCTGGGACTACATGGCTGCGCCACTATACCTGGTTAATCATTTGAATTTTTATAGGGACAAGGTCTCGCTATATTGCCTAGGCTGGTCTCAAACTCCTAGGCTCAAGCAATCTTCTCACCTTGGCCTCCCAAAGTGCAGAGATTACAGGTGTGAGCCACTGTACCAGGTCACAATTTTTTAATCTCTCAAAAAGTAGGATTTAAATAAACATTTCCATTTATTTTGATAACTTACTTGTTCTCCATCAGAATCAGACTTCACTGCAGTTATGGTTAATTCCAAAAGCCCCATATCCATCACACGAACATAATCTAAAATTTTTAAAAGTAATTAATAAAATGTTTGAGTACAGCTTTCAAAAGATGTTTGCTTATCCAACCAATGCCTAACAAAACTAGCATGTCTCGAAAATTCATTGCAGAGAGCGCTACAAATATTTATAATGAAATGAAAATAGTTTCAACCTACAAGTCACTTTATTTTAGTTAGAAACAAAATTTGTCTTACATTAAATATTTGGAGCATATATAGTAATTTGATGCACCAATGTAGCAAGAACATTACAACTTCCAACTGAAAAACCAGTATCTGAAAAACCAAGCTCTGAATATATATCACATTGATCACCATATAAAGATCCTTCAAACTTTAAGAACCTTTAGTAAGATCCCTAGTCCACCAGCACTACCCCAGAGTTAAAATGTTTTAAAATATTCACACACAAAATATAAAGCAGTGTTCATCTACTCCAGACTTTGTTGTTTAACTCTTACCTCTATGCAAATTTATAGTGACAGTGTTACATTTGTCAGATAGATGTAAAGCAGCTTCATCCAAAATTATTCTGAGGCAAGAAAGATAAAAACCAATATCTAAAAATCCAAGTTGTGAACATTATACCACATGATCACTATATACTTAGTTAAATCATTCTTCCTGGTATGAACATCACCAAAATTATATGCAGTTACTAATTTTTAACTGTCATCAAACATTTTTTTAAGTCACTGTTTTGGGTGCTTGGAATGTTTAAATGGTACAAGCAATTAGATTAAATTATTTGCTCAAATTAATCGTAGCTTTTTAGCAGTTTTTAATGTCCAAATTCACAAGGCTTAAATTACACAGATAAAGTGGGCTGGGCATGGTGGTTTATGCCTGTAATCCCAGCACTGTGGGAGGCCAAGGTAGGAGGATGGTGTGAGGCCAGGAGTTGGGGACCAGACTGCGCAGCACAGAAAGACCTAGTCTTTACGAAACTGAAAAACTTTTAACAGTTAGCCAGGTGTGGTGGTGCATGCCTGTAGCCCTAGCTGCTTGAGAGGCTGAGGCTGCAGGATCACTTGAGCCCCAAAATTTGATATTACGGCAGGTAATAATCACGCCACTGCATTCCAGGCTGGGCAACAGAGTAAGACTCTCTCTATAAATAAGTAAATAAATATTTAAAAACAAAGTAAAAAATATCTGGTATTATGAGAAGTTTACCATATGTTTTAAAAAGTCAATTAAGAATCTCAAGAATTAATTTCTCCCCTAAACATGAAAAGCAATAATAAAAAGGTAAATGAACCAAGCCACCTGAGGAAAAAAAAAACTGAGTAACTTGGATAAAAGAATATGACTATTAGTAAAAGAAAGTTCATTTTAACGAAAGGTTGAAACTTTAATAAAATGGCTATCGTGTTTTGAACAGCTACATTTAGTATACAGTACCTGAGAGTTGAAGAAGATTTATCCAATGCAGCACTGCTAGAAATGCTGAAGGTTTCAACAGTAAGAAGAGATCGGATGGGCAAATAAAGGGGCCTAAGACCAAAAAGAAACAGCACATCACTGACACAGCACCAGAAATGCTCTTCAAAAATTTTGAACCTTAACTCTACTGGATTATGTATTTTTTCAAAACCTAATACATATTTTAATAACACTTTACTGTGTTCCATTTTTGCACCTACCTATAATCAAGTGCACAGTTCCAAAGATGAACATGAAAAGTTGTAAATGAAGTTGGAGGATTATATCCCAAAACTGGTTCATCAGCAATATTCAAGAAGTACAAAATCTATAACCACAAAAACAGAAAATGCCCTGCTTTAGAAGAAAAAAAGAATCGCTATAATATACTTAATACCAATATAAAACAGAATGTCTCACAGAAAAAGCAATCATTTAATTGGAAAATCATAATGCTACATGAAAAACTATCATCATTTTGAAGGAATTTGCTGCAACAAGTACTTGTGTCAGAAAAAAGGGTAATTATGGAAGGTGATAGATATGTCCATTTAACTGTAGTAATCATTTCTCTATGTATAGGTATACCAAAACATTGTGCTATTCACCTTAAACATATACAATATAAGATAATTTTTTAAGTACTTGTAAAATTAGATTCGAAATGAAAAGACCCATCCGACAACTGCAATGCTATGGAAACCTTAGACAACCATACCTTATGAAATTAATAACAAAGTATGCACAATATAATTTTCAAGAATATTTTGCGTGGAATAATTCTTAGAAAAATAAATTTTGCTGGAAACTGCTTCAAACCATCAATCCAGTTTCCTATGTAGCCCATTATGGGAGGAAAATCTGGTTTTCTATCTAATGCATCGTTGCAGGGAGTTCTTTTCCTTAATTTATACCTAGTTCAGTCTAAAAACCAGTCCCTCTCACCAACATCTATTCTCTTATTTGTAATCTGAGCTAACAAGGAGGTTATGCTAAATCTCTCCCTTACAGCCAGTTAGTATTCATGCTAACCACTTCTCTACTACAAGATATTTAGACAGATAGCCTCAAGTTTCTTAGAAGCTTTCCAGAGAAAAGCATACTGAATACGTTTGTTTTAAAATAATTTATTTTCCCAACCCAACTAAGAAGCTCCTCTTTCCAAGGAACACGAGAAAGAATCAGAGCGCACTAGTTTTCAGGCTCACAAAAAGAAAAGCTAACTTCTTACTCAGAGTCTCCCGTGAAAGATAACCGTGTTTTATTACCATGAAGAGTTATTCAACTGAAAATTACAGAAAGCCTGATAACATGCTTTAAAAAAGTATCACATTATCGACCTAGTGGTTAATATGCAAATATGGCACTTACAGAACATCTGGTTACACAAGCAACTGAGCACATTATTCACTGCTCCTGTATGCTAGGCACTCTCTGGGTCCTGGGACACAGAGTCCCCTTCCTTCCTTTGATGACATTCAAGACAACTCTGTCTCTGAGAGGCTTTGAGGACCAAACTTGGAAGCTGAAATCAATTACAGTCTGTGGTAATAAATAATACTGTTCCCTAAGCTAAAAGATGGCGACAAAGTAGTGTTTACTTCATAATTCACTGAACTGAACGTTTATGACGTGTGAACTTTTCAGTGTGCGTACTACATGTCAATACAAATTTTAATACATAACAGCCCTCTTACCTGCTCGTGCCAGCTAAGCCCAGAAGGAAGCATTCTATGCTGGAGAGTGGCTCCTTTCAGTCCTACGGCAATGAGAAATTCCTATACAGAACAACAACACAAAGAACTCCATTTACCACCTGTGTAATCCTATAAGTCAAAAAGTGTTTCCAAGAAAATGTATGTGACCTTACATGCAATTTTTTTTGCTAGTGATCAAATCAACAGTAAGTACTTAATGGTATAGAAATATAAAACACAAACCTTTGTATTGGACTCTGACTTATCAGACAATATTTTAACTGCAACAGAAAGCATATTCAAACTGTCTCCTCCAACTCCATCTGATGAAGTTCGACTGAGGCCATCTTCTTCAGAGGAATAAATGGTGGGTTCCAACCAGTGTGGGCGTGTTGAACTGGGCAGGCGCATTTCGGTAGGAAGAACTACTCCATCTACTACGCCTAGATCCACATTGAGGGGAAGACATTAACAAAATGATTACTCGAAATTAGTTTGTAAACTTCTATAACTTAAAACAAAAACCCATGTTCTTCCACTGAATATAACATAAAAAGGTATGATGATAAAAACCAACTTGGCATTAATAAACCACTCTTCTTTGCTAATGCTAGTATGACTGACAGTGTACAACCTACAAAAAAACAAAAACTAAGATCCTGAAATGCTAGGAAAAACTCATAAACATTAAGAACAGGCAAGCACCTCATATCCATTCACAAGGTAACTCAGGCAACTGCTTTAAAAAAAAAAAATGGCAAGTTCTGACCAGGCACGGTGGCTCATGCCTTTAACCCCAGCACTTTGGGAGGCTGAGATGAGAGGATTACCTGAGCCCACGGGCTCGAGACCAGTCTAGGCAACTTGGCAAGACCTCATCTGTACAATAAATTTTTTAAAAAATTAGCTGGGAGTGGTGGCGTGCACCTGTAGTTCCAGCAACTTGGAAGGCTGAGGCGGAAAGATCGCCTGAGCCCAGCAAGTCAAGGCTGTGGTGGCTGTGAGCGTGCCACTGTACTCCAGCCTGGGTAACAGAGTGAGACTCCAAATCCAAAAAAATAAATAAATAAATATTTTTAAAAAGGCAAGTTCTGTATCAGAAGCCAAAAGGAAATATTCCTTAAGGGAGAATCAAGAACATAAAAGGTCCATCCCTTGGTGAAGAGACACATATGATAGATCTACACCATGGAATATTTGTCAGCAACAGAAACCAATGGAGTACTGATGCAACTTGGCTGAGCCCTGAAATCAGGTTGAATAAAAGAAGCCAGTCACAAAAGACCATATTATATGATTCATGTATATGAAACTTCTAGAATATGCAAACCCATAGAAACAGAGCAGATGAGCGGTAGATTGGGGCTGGGGGGTGGGAGGGTTGCAGTACAGCTACAGTGTAAGAAGTTTCTTCTTGGGGTGACGAAACTTTTAAAACTGACTTTGGTGATGGTTGCATAACTGTGAAATACTGAAACCATTGAAAGGCACACATTAAATGAGTGAACTGTACGGCATGTGAACAACAAAGCGATTGCAAAAAAGAACATAGAGCTGACTTCTAATTTATAAGTATCACTTTGACAACAGAATCAGAACTTCTTCCAGAAAGTAATTTCTAATGTCAAAGTTCTGTTCTCAACAGAGTTCTTTATTAAGGGTATTTAAATATGTCTAAACAGAAGCGACCAAAACACACATCTGCCGTACCTTTGTGGTACAGACTGAAGCTGCTAGAATGAAGGCAGATGTAGTGCTTGTCATCAAAACCTTCATATTTTGTCACGCAAAACAATGACCCATTACTGAACTCTAACCAGAATTCGCCATGCTTGTTTTCCAACAGATCTCCATTATCCTGCTAATAAAAAGATCAGAAAAACACAAAAGTCATTATTTAGATGCAGAAAAGTAAGAATGTGATTTGGGATGCTCCTCCTTCATTCAGCTTAGGGACGTCTCCTCCATCACAGCAAAGCAGTCTAATTCTTGAACCATTCAATACAGGAGCACTAAAATCAAGTACCCGAAGCGTACATGGGACCCCTTCTGCCAAATGAGTCCCTCTACTCCATCCTCCTTTATAACAGCCACCAGTTATCACCCTCAAGAGCAGAATCAGCACCTGTTTTCCCAAGGGAGAGCCACACAAAGTCTGCTCTGCAATGAAAGCTAACTCCCCGAAGTGGCTGTCACCACGGCATGTCAGAAACACTGGCTTTTACCAGACACACAACAACCTCAAGCTGCTTCAACCACTGGATGTGCATCCGAGTAGATGTGTTTAAAATAAGACACGTTTGAAGAAAACACTTTGGATTGGTGAACCTTACCCTTACATCTGTGAACACTGCCATTAATCCATGATTAATATTCAGAAGAACCGAGAGAAAACTCTGTGAATTCTTGTTCGGAGAGTCTAGTTTTTTCTTCCTACGGGAACGACGGTTGGGATCAACAGTGGAAAAACACTGCAAAGTCTCCTCCTCAGATCCACTTTCCTCATCTATGAGAAATAAACAGTAAGATTATATGGTTCTGACAGCTCTTTAAAATAAAACAGCAACTTAACAATTATCTCAAAAATATTTCATATTTATAACCTGCTTACTTTCACAAGGAACATGTTGTGACACAGAAACATGCCTTCTGTGGTTTTCTCTTTAGCCCTGAACTTCAAACAACATGCACACTATCACTCTAAAGATAACATGTTTAAATGGTAATGTTATTCTCAATATACTGATAGAAATGTGGAAATACCCTCATGAATTACTAAAAGAAACTATAAAATACAGTTACAATGAAAAGCAGCCAAAGAAACATTTTTTAAAAATTTTTTTGTAGAGACAGGGTCTTCTCATGTCACCCAGGCTGATCTCCAACTCCTGACCTCAAGTGATCCTCCCACCTCAGCACTGAGATTACAGGTGTGAGCCACCACACCTAGCCAAAGAAATATTTTAAAATCCACAACTGAAAAAGTAACTACTTTGTTGACTGACAAATTAGACATTGTAATTCAGAATTAAAAATATATTACCATAGTGAACTGTAGATTTAAATGGACTAAAACTCTCTTTGTTGAAGGTATTAATCAGTTGACTGGCTACTGAAAGCCCAATACCATAGGAAATATTTTCCAGTGTCTCCACTGGAGAAGGGGCTGTTGGCTCCCACAGCAGCAAGTCATTAAAGATCCTAGAAAGACAAAAGTTGAAAACAAGCACATAACTCCCAGTTCAAGGGGAGGCAGACTAACAGACATCCTTTTAAGCGATCACCCAAGCAATACCTTTTTAAATGATGAAATGGAAATTACGTTCTACAAAAGAGTTTTAAAGGAGGAACTGTGTTCTGCCAACAAAAAAAGAACTGCCATGGCTATAATGCGGAGCAGGCAGAAAGCAATCTGCATAAGTGGACACCTAATTGGATACTTGCCTAGCTCCACCTGTGTTACATGCATCAAATTACAAATTCACGCTGGACTTCTAAGTACACTTTGGAGACGGAAACCAGTTCAAGCAAAAACCCACAAAGAACAAAAGGAAGACAGCCCACCTGTACGAGTGAGCAGTCTGTACACGACAGATGGCCCTGCAGCATCTAATTTGACCTCCCATCAGTCCTGTGGGGCGTCCAGGAGAGAATCATTACTTTCCCCTTACACTTGAAGAAACTGTCTCATAAAGGCCAGTGTCCTTCCCAAGGTCGCACAGCTCATCAGTGGAAGAAGTGGGCGAGGCTCCAGATTATGTGGGTTATGTCCAATTCCTAACTTGGGTTTTGTTTTAGGCAAGCATTTGCCTGGAGGATCAACTCAGCTCTTCCCCTAGAGACACCGCCTTTCCTCTCACCGACAGAAAGCGCAGCTTCACCGGGAAGACCCTTGAGACGAAGAGTGCACTGGAGCAGGAACGAAGAGAGAGAAGCCCTAAGGACAGCCAGACTAGCCCAGCTGACACTGCTGACCATGTGTCTCAAAGAAAGACTTGCCACTGCTCAGACGCCCTTCTGTCCTAGCTCCCGCCTCTCACCCACCCTCCAAGCTATCAAGAAACCTCGAACTTCACAACGCGCTCCGGGAAGCCTTTGGTGTGATCTGGGCCCCCAGCACACCTTCCACGCACACAAACCCAGTCGCCGCACCTCGACCCTTGGCTGCATTTCCTTGTTTCCCAGTCCTCGACGGCAAGCCCCGAGAGCGGACTCGCGTCTGCTCATCTCTACGTGTGTCTAGCACAGTGGCTGTCACACAGCAGGCACTGACAGGTGTGATGAAGAAAGGACAGTGATGACTCACTGGGAGGACTGCCAAAGCTCAGAGTACTGTAAAGCCCAGTGTGAATACCAGCAAGGTGCCACGCACTGAGACAGCTCTGTCCCTTCCTGTGAGAAGCCACTGGCAGGCCAATTCCTGAGCTTCCGAAGCCCTAGGAAGTATAAGCCAGGACTGAGTACTGTGATTCTCAGTAGTTATAATCCCCACCTAAAAGGTCTCTCTTTGGAAGCATCACTATGTCAAGAACACCAAGGGTATAAGATAGAAAGATGTCACAGCTAAGACACATTGACACATCCCAAAATACAGTGATTTAAAAAAATGGCTGTTTCTTGGGCATATTATAGGACAAAGAAACAAGAGTATCAATCCAGATCTTGGTCTAAACTGTATATAAATAATGACAGTATAATGACAAATTTTCCCAGGAAATGTTCTTTTTTTATTTCCTACAAGCATAAGAGAAACTGTTGCTTTTTTTTTTTTCTTTTTCCTTTTTTTTTTTGAGTTGGAGTCTCACTCTGTCGCCCAGACTGGAGTACAGTGGCCGCTCCTGGCCACCGCAGCCTCGCCCTGCTGGGCTCTGGTGATCCTTCCACCTCAGCCTTCCAAGTAGCTGGAACTACAGGAGCGTGCTACCACACCCGGCTAGTTTTTTTTTATTTATTGTAGAGATGAGGTCTCGCCAAGATGCCCAGGCAGGTCTCGAACCCACAGGCTCAGGCAATCCACTCACCTCGGCTTCCCAAAGCCGGGATTACAGGCTGAGCCACCGAGCCTGGCTCTTTTTCCTTTTTTTAGCAGCAAGGTCTCACTCTCTCACCTAGGCTGGAGTACAGTGATGCAACCATAGCTCACTACACCCTCCAACTCTCCTGGGCTCAGATGACCCTCCTGTATCAGCCTCCTAAGCAGCTGGGACTACAGGTGTGTGCCATCATACCCAGCTAAAGAAACTCCTACTTTAAATAAAACCTGAAGTTCATGGTATAGGACCTGTAAATATAAGTTTCTTATGAATTTACTATGTTCCTTATTTATTTTGATCTAAACAGAGTCTTGACACCATTAATACAATAAAACATTGGATGGTGTTTGTAGCATCAAGAAAGAAAACAATGCTTAAGATATTTAAGGACACATCACCATGATTCTGTGTCTGTGAGCCTGAAATATAACAGATGCTCACTATATATTTGATTTAATGAAACTATTAAGAATTATTTTTCAAATCTATTTTAAAGAACTTTGACATAAAAAAATCTCCTGCACCTGAAACCATCTTTCTAAAAGCCTCCAGTTGACCAAGACATTATAAGAATAAACCAATATCTTAATTATACAAAATAAAGGCAGAGTTAGTTATAACTCCTGGCTCAGAAAAATAAGAGACATTTAGTAAAATTTGAATGGGGTATGAGGATTATTTGGTAGCATGTATCCAGTGTAGTTTTCTGATTCCAATAGCTGAATCACAGTTGTGTAGAATCTATTTGTTTGTGGGAAATACACATCCAAGGACTTAACACTGAAGGGGCTCACTTTCAGACAGTTGCAGGGGTGGAAAGTTCTTTGAACCGTACTTGCAAATCTTTAAGTCCAAGAATGTTTAAGCATTTTAAAAATAATATTTATTTTAAAATTCAAAGCCAAACAAGGGGCAAAGATTGCATACCCTGAAGAAGTGAGATGTGCGATTCACAAGATCCACAGTGAGGGAGCTCTTCACTGCTTATGCAATTCTAGGAGCCTCAGAGACCAAGGAGTGGACAGAACAGGATAGAACAGACACTCTCTTCAGCGACCCATTTAACCAACCACTCGGACTAACAGGTGCTCCAATCCCCTGACTTACGCAGGCAGCAACTCAATTCCCCCATCTGCCACCGCTCACGCTCCCCGTATGCTCACCACCTGTGGTGGCAGACGACTCTCTAGCACGGCTGACAATGTCTGCTCCTATCAGCTATCTTTTTTCTATGTGAGGGGGCACCCAGAAAGACTGGAGCTCTCTTTTTGGAGGGCAGGTCCCCTATAGCACAGGCATCCCAGCTAGGTACGTGTTCTAGAAACCCATCAGCATCCGTACACCAGCCAGCGGTGTTGTTAGAGACATTTTACTGAAGAAAAGTCCCAAGACGTGGCAAACATGTGATTGGCTCTTTTACCATGGCAGCAGATCTGCCCACACCGCACTGATTGCTCAGCAGTCTGTGACCAAAAACGGCACGAGCCCCATTGCCCACTCTTTCTAGTCACCCAATCTTGTCCCCAGTGGCTTTTCTTGTTTCCCCAGATGGAAAAAGCCCTAAAAGAGAAACATTTTGTTGATGTGGAAGAGGCAAAACCAAAGATGGCAGAAGCACTAACAGGTAGTAAAACTAACGAGTTCAAAAGCTATTCTGAGCAGTGGAAAAAGTGCTTCAACAGGTGTATTGCATCAAAGGGAGAGTACTTTGAAGGTGACTGAAGTTTAAACATTAAGAAGACACCATCTTTTATAAATAAATTAGGGTTTTGGGGGTGTTCCCCCTTGTATTCGCCAAACACCGACTATATTTAGCCTCAAATCCGCCCGCATTTGTTATTATAAGTATAGTTGATTCAAAAACTGAGCTAACAGATTTAACTAATGCAAACTGAGTTGGGGAAAAAAATCTTAAAAACCTGTAAGGATTCCGCACTCAGATCACTTGTGAAAAAAAAATTTTCACTCTAAAGAAAACAGAACTAAAAACTGTAGACAATACCTTCAGGATACGTCACCTAAAAGGATATATAGCATAAAAGACACAGAAGGTTCCAATCAGTGGCTCATACTCAAAGAAAAGGCCTTGCCCCATATTCTAAAATGAAGTGGTAAACAAATGCACATGTGTAAACTGAATGTTTAAGGTCTGTAATACTGTTCTTGATGTCCTGATTTAACTGAAAGCAATCTGCTCAATCAATAGAGAGAGAGAGAAAGACACAGGCCAAGTGCCCTTCTGACCTCCGGGCCAGCCTTGAAGGAGTTGTTCATTTCCCTCAATCTGGACCTTGCATGTGCTTCAGCTCTTAGCAGACATCCCTCAACTAGAGCATAAGGGGAGGAGCCTGGAGATCTGAGGTTCCCAAACTTTACATCACATGTTAATGGACCCCAAAGATTATAAACAATTCGTACAACGCTAATGTGAATGTATGAGTTATGTGCCACTATTTATAATGTATATTATAAAACAAATATTTTTAAATGTCAATTTCAAAAGGAGTTTTTTTTTTAAGTTGAACAGAAGTGCTAGAGTTTTCTTCCTATACTCCAATGGACCGTCAGGTGAAAATCATTTTCTTTTTTGAGTTGGAGTCTCACTCTGCCACCCAGGCTGGAACAGTGGCACACTCCCGGCCACCACAGCCTCAACCTGCTGGGCTCAGGTAATCCTTCCATCTCAGCCTTCCAAGTAGCTGGAACTACAGGCAGATGCCACAGTGTCAGCTAATTTTTTCACTTATTGTAGAGACGAGTCTTGCCAAGTTGCCTAGGCTGGTCTCAAACCCTTGGACTCAGGCAATCCTCTCACCTCAGCCTCCCAAAGTGCTGGGATTACAGGCATGAGCCACCATGCCCAGTCTGAATCTCATTTTCAAGACTGCTGAACCGATGTGGACCCTAGAATCCTTCCTGGAACTTATTTTTCTGATTCTAAGACCAATAATCAATGGCAATCAGGGAGAAGACCCAGAGTTTGATAACACTTAAGGAATAAAGGAGCAGGGATATCTGATACCAAGCAAGCCTACAGCAGAAATGAGAGTTTGGTGTTTATGATGACTAATGGAAATTAGAATAACTTGATGACATGTGGGAAGCTAGTAGTGACAAACACTAAGGACTTTTTTTTTTTGAGTCAGGGTCTCATTCTGTCATCTAGGCTGGAATGCAGTGGCACAATCATGGTTCACCGCAGCCTTGAACTCTGGGTTCAGTCATTTCTCCTGCCTCAGCCTCCCAAGTAGTAGCTGGGACTACAGGCACACGCCACCATGCCCAGCTAATTTTTAAACGTTTTTTGTAGAGACAAAGTATCAGTATGCTGCCTAGGCTGACCTCAAATTTCTGGGATCAAGCAATCCTCCCGCTTCGGCCTTCCAAAGTGCTGAGATTAGAAGCATGAGTCACCATACCCAGCTGAGATTTATTTTTCTAGAAACCCAAATGTCCACCTTTCAGGTATGCTATAGAAGAAATCCCTTCACCAGGTAGGAATTACACTAGACAATTCTTACGTACTAACTATATGCCAGACACTGTTCTCAGAACTTTCCAAGTGTTACATCATTTAACCCTCCAAACAATCCTTTGAGGCGGGCACCAGAATCACCTCCATTTTACAGCTAAGGAAACTCAGGCTTATGGCGGCTAGGTAAACTGTCCCAAGTCATCAGAGTCTAGGACCTACAATTACATTCATTTCAACATATTTCCTTGATATATATATTGAGGGGCATTTAACTAACAAATTTAAACTTCTGTATACAAGTTGACACAGTAGAGTTCAGAATGCCAACAAGATACCTTCTGAGCTCTGCAGAAAAGATGACTCTAGCATTCTGAGTCTACCCTCAGTATTGCCTAACTCTTCCTGTCACTGCACAGGTAGAAAAGACAGTGTTCGATCAGTGCCCTGCAATAGGCCGCCAGAGGGCAGCCAGCCAACCCAGGGGCTGAGGGAAGAGATATCTCCCACGCCAGTCGCCCAGGCATCAGACACACGGGTTGGGAAACTCTGCCATGACAACAGTACATCATAGTGGTAATAGTTCCACAGACGCCATCAACCCCATACAGAGTGCTGAAATGGTAGGAGATACTAAGGCAAGGAAAGAAAGGGGAGGCAGTCAGACAGAAAGTTTCACTTGAAAGACTCAACTACATATGCTTAGACTCACCTATTATACAGCTTCTCATAAAAGCTCTTATTAGGTAGTGTTATATGAATATTTGGCAACGTAAGTTCCAGCACATAGTGAGAGTTGCTGATTGCTTTATCCTGAAACTCTGTCATTTCTACAGGATCTCCTGGCATCACCATCTAAAACGTAATAGTTTAATGCAAAAAAGGCATCAAATAACCATTTTATGTTTAAAACAGCAGTAGCATCTTCTTAACCTATCCATGGACTTGGTATATATGAGCAAATAAATAGGCAGGTAACATTTAACTGGGGAAAAAATACATCAAGAAAAAACAGATCTTATTCAGTCTTGGAGTTTACTACCTAGCAAAAACAGTACACTTTAAAGCATTAAAAGATAAGAAATTAAGAGCATTGTTAAATACAAAAAATAATAGAATTCCTTTGTTGCCTGCTCACACTTTTATCTTACCTGCTCATTTTCAAACATGACTCTACGAGAAGAAAAAGGAGATGGGGCTGGTCTCCTGAGATCACACACATCTTTCAGAGAATGAGCACCTCCTTCCTCTTCTTCCTGATAGTGACCATCATTCTCCTCTTCTTCCTCAGCTGCTATTCTCGCCAAAATGGAATGCATGGCTGGGGGATTTATTTTTAGTACAATTCTGATAACAAAGACAATTTTTAAAAGATCGAGATATAAGCGTAAATGGCAAATCTTTATCTTTTGTGCAAATGAATATACAGATCAGTGTTAGATCTTAATTACAGAATTAAACTTCTCTACAAAGTCTCATTATTTCTACTGTATCCCACTTATGAGTATGTTGTCAGCGTAAAAGTATGGAATTAAAACAACAAAATAAGGACATTAACACTGTATACTTGGCTAGTTAAAAGGTTAATCTTCTGAAGGCAAAGCGTTATTTTAAAATCTCATTAACAGCCAACAAACTTTACCAAAGAATTATAACCATTAAAACAAATTCTCTCACATAGTTTGTTCTGTATAACAGATGCTTGCCTACCTAAGAAACCTCATGGTGTATAAACCGTTCCAAGTGATTTGGGAACACTGTCAAAACTGCAACAACAGAGTTATCTTTTTCCTCCAGGAACTTCGGTCCTAAAGGGCTTGTATTTGTTTCTTAGCCACAAGCGCGAAATGTCGCTGACTTCATGCAGCTTTTGACTTCAAAAGTGAATGCGCTTTGGCTCCAAAGCAATCCCATCCCTTGCCTAATCTTCTGTGGCACACCACTAGCACTGGCTTCTTAGCCTCCTTCTTATCACCGCATCAACGCGTCATTACGTTGAGGTCTGGAACTCTCACACAAAATAGCAGTGTTGCAACTATAACAACTTTTCTTCCCTAGACAGGTAGTGTCATTTGGTTCTAGTAAATCATCACAGCTATTTCTTAACTGATAGACATTCTAATGTAACCCATGCTTCTAAGTTACTTAACTGAAGTAGAGCACAATTATGATGAACTTAGGCTCATTTCCAGATAGGTATTAACAAGGCCTGGCCTAAGGATCAGATAGAGTGGATACAGAGTGGGAAGGAGTTATAAAACCAGGCAGGCAAAAAAATGGTATATAAAGTATCATTTTAATTATGGGAAAATCTCCAAAATACTTAGTTTTTGATATAATTATAGGTCACTACTTCAAGCAAACTAAGCTTTTAAAATATGATCCAATCCCAGTAATTTAACTTAAGGAATGACTTCTCCTGCCTAAGAAATCTTGAAACAGTGGATCTCAAAGTCCAAATACATACTGGAATCATCCAGTGTACTCTTAAAAATACACTGATGCTGGCAGTTTCTCTTCTTTAAAAAACCTGCCCATGGCAGGTCTTTCTGCCACGAATCTTCCTTTTACATTCTTTTTCTTGCTAATAAACTTGGTTTTAAGACTTTGAAAAAAAAAAAATACACCAATGCCAGGCCCTAGCCCAGAATCTCTGGGTGGGACTCAAGAAGCAGTGTCTTGTAAAAAGCTCCCCAGATTTGAAAAAGACTGTCCTAAAGTACTTACTGACTATAAAATTCAACTGACAATTACCTATATGGTGCCTTATACCTTATATTCCTTGAGGTAGCCTTGAAGTACGGTATTCTTTAAATGGCAAATAAGTGTTTTGTCTCTCTGATTAGAGTAGGAAACCTGAGACCAAAGAACACATTTTATGCTTTCTTCTCTCACAACAGTGAACATATACCTTTCACAGAGCAGTGTTCAATGTTTACTTTTTATTTGACTTGTCTTCTTTTGGGCTCACTCATCAAGGTTGAATATTTTAATTGAATGTAATGGTCAAAATGAAGGTTAAAACGACTAGAATATTTTAGTGCTAAAAGGAACAGCCCACTCAGTCTGTGCATTTGCTTGCTCACCGAGGCCAGTCAAAGTCATCTGACGACGCTGTATCTCCATCTACTCCACTAGACACATGGAAAAACTTAGTAGATGGTTCTCCTTTCTCTTCCTGGAATGACCCTAATAAAACAAGACTGATTTACTAAAATGCATTATTCTCAAGCTCTAAAAGGAAAGACTGAGAAGTAAAGCTCTCTCAATCAGGAACATAATCAATCAGGAACATAATGCGGCATTAAGTTCGGCAGCATTATTTACTTGTTCCTGTTTCGCAGGTATAGGGAAGACAGGATGAGCGGGTAAGTTAAGGATGCAGGATGCTGTCGTGCGTTCAGACTCAAATTCTTAAGTACCTATGTATAGTCTGTAAGGTGCATAATCATGACATAGTAAACGCAGCAGTCACCACTTTCTGAGTGCTATTAGTGATTATTTCTTCATTTTAAAAAGTCTATACAGTTAATCTCTTACTAGGAAAGATAACAACAACATTTCTTGAATATATATTTTGTACAAAGCACTATAAAAATTACTTCTATTCAGAATGACTCCATACTGTTTTCCTTCCATTTTGAAGTGAAGAATGGCTTTCCTTCAGCATAATGACCTTCTTGCCACTGGAGATAAGAGATGATTTCATAAGACCTAAAGGCCCTTTCAGGACGTCATAGTTGGCAACAGTCCATATTAAGTCTCTTTTAAGAAATGCTGAACTGAGGCTGGGTGCCGTGACTCACGCCTGTCATCCCAGCACTTCGGGAGGCCGAGGCGAGAGGATTGCCTGATTCCAGGGGTTCGAGACCAGCCTGGGCAACTTGGCGAGACCTTGTCTCTACAATAAATCAAAAAACTAGCCGGGCATGGTGGTGTGAGCCTGTAGTTCCAGCTACTTGGAAGGCTGAGGCGGAAGGATAGCCTGAGCCCAGCAGATTGAGGCTGCTGTGGTCATAAATGTGCCACTGCCCTCCAGCCTGGGTGACAGAGTGAGATCCAACTCAAAAAAAAAAAAGGTTGAGGGCCTGCCACTTCCTGGGCATGACCTTGGTCACATTACTTAATCTGTCTGGTCTAAGATAAATACTGTAACAGAAAGAAAAATTTATTAAACGAAAGAAATGCTGAACTGAGAGAGAGCAAGCAAGGGAAGCGTCTGCAGCGTGTTCTCAGGCCAGGGACGGTGAGTGGAGTCGCAGAGGCAGGTGGCTTAGCAACCACAGGACAAAAGAGCGTCCAGAGCCCCTCACAGGCGAGGTCCGCTCAAAGTTTACACATATTGCCTTCATTAACTGCCAAAAACAAAGTAACACAGAAAAAGTCAAAAATAGGTTTACAAATAAAAGCCACTAGAGACTAGGCAGTACAGTGGCTGAAAGCACAACCTCTAGTGTCAGACTTGAGTCGGAGTCTTGATTCTGCCACTTACTGCAACTACAGGGGAACACCTTCTAAGTCCACAGACTGCCTCATCTACTAAATTACAAAAATAACCACAAAAAACAAGCATATGGTGATTACAATTATTACAAGAAACAGGACAATGTGCATGAAGTGCTTAGCACAGTATCTAACATATAGTGACACTCAATAAATTCTACTATCAGCTCTACAAGTAAGTGATAGATAATTATAAGAATGTAGGCTAAAGCACTATGTTCTCCTACGGAAAATAAGGTGGTTTTTGGGTTTTTTTTTTTGAATGGTATTCTCACTCTGTCACCCAGCCTGGAGTGCAGTGGCATACTCACGGCCACCGCAGCCTCGACTTGCTGGGTTCAGGTGATCCTTCTGCCTCAGCCTTCCAAGTCACTGAAACTATAGGCATGTGCCACCATGCCCGGCTAATTTTTTTATTTATTGGTAGAGATGAAGTCTCACCAAGTTGCCCAGGCTGGTCTCGAACCCATGGGCTCAGGCAATCCTCTCACCTCAGGCTCCCAAAGTGCTGGGATTATAAGCATGAGCCACTGTGCACGGCCGAAAATAAGTATTTTAACAAAGCAAATAAATCATCATCTTTAGTAATTTTTTAAGACCTATATCACATATTTGTATACAATACTAGAGAAAAGTTGTTCTTCTTGTTTTCTAACAAAATGTTCTTTAATTTTAGTACATTCTGGGGCTGTCAGGTACTTTTGCGACACGTTTCAGTAAAGTTGTTTCTATCTTTTACTGGTACATTTAATCTTACCAACTAGTTCTCTAAAAGTAAGCTCCAATTTAATTTGTTCTGGGGTCGATCCTCCTATAAATTCAGTCTTGAATTCTAGATCTGTGAAGGCTAGAAGAAGCATCTCCTTCTGAAGCGACTTCTTAAACCATGGTCCTCTTTCCTGATCTGATCGAAGATCAGGTATCGGGAAGCGCACAGAAAGGTTTAATGCTGGTGTGGCAACTTGCACTGATATCCGACAATTTGCAGGACTATGTGAATCATCTAGAAATACTTCAGTGAAAGCCTTGTGCTAAAACATAAAACATCAAACAAACATATGCCAAAACATTAAGTAAGTATAAAAGACATTAGTATTCAACATTTCAGCATGTAACTAACACTCTTTTCTCATTTGGCATAATGCACCCAAATACAATTCAAATTACTACCACATTCATTTAGAGCAATGAAATGTTACAATGCAACAACTATTGGCAAAGTGAAAAACTATTCGCAAGTTAAATCCTAACATAAAAATCAAAATAAAAACTGAATCAAAGTGAAGACAAAGGCGCTATAGATGGATATATCTTACTATAAATGAAAAAAGAAGGATATAATTAGCCTATCGACAAATTCACTATTGGTTAAAAATCACGGTAGTGCCCAACATATAGTTTGAAGGATTTTTCTACCAACATTCTACTTTAAAGACTCAATCCAAAATCAGAGGAATTATGCCAAATGCAAAGACCCATCTCTGACTTATCTTTGTATTTCCAGTATTAAGCCCGGAGCCTGGCACATCTCAGGTTCTAAATATTCACTAAATGACTCACCCTGAGCTCCTATCCAATCTAAGGGTATGAGCTCACCAAATGGCTCTAAGAAACCAAAATGTATGCACCATTTACCCAAAACCACATTACAATGAAAGGGTCAAAGACCATTTCATTCAGACAGAAGTCTATTCCAGTTTTTCTCCATACTGAAACTAACAAAACTCTAGTCTACTGTAGGTGGTAAAACTCTTTAATTTCTTTAGTCAGTTTCTAACCTCCTTGAATTACAAAGTTCCCATGTTAAAGAGGCTTTTTTTGGTTTGTTTTGGTTTAGAGAAATGGGGTCTCGCTATACCACCCAAGCTGGTCTCAAACTCCCAGGCCCAAGGAATCCTCCCATCTCAGCATCTTGAGGACCTGGGACTATAGGGGTGAACCACCACAACCAGCTAGCTTTAGATTTTTAACAAGCCTATTCTATGTCTACCCTATTTGACTTTCTAGTACTAACCCCCAACTCTCAGGCAAAAATAGCCCAAGAGACCAAAAATCATCCTCATGCATCTATGGCCAACAGTTTCTATGGAGACTGGCCAACAGAACTGAAAATAACCAGCAGTTGGTGACCAGAAAAAATAAAGAATGCTAATGTGAATACTCACCACTAAGAGAAAAGCAATTAAGTAGAAAAATAAATGTCCTTTTCTTTTTAACTAAAGTTGTCTCTGATCCTGATCCTACAGCCCCAAATTCCAGCTCCAAAGTTTTTAACAGACTTCTTGCAAATCTGACTTGTTTGCTTAGAAAAGACCCTAGGCGCCAGATCTAAGTAAAAGTGATAATAATGTGATGCTCAGTAGTTCATTTTCAAAAGTTGTTTGGGCTATATTTTTAGGTGGTTCAAGTAGTTTACTAAATGTGTGAATAGATAAAATTTTGTGAAGATATTATAATCACAGTGTACGAAGTTCAGATAAACACAGAAAATAAAGGAAACCTAATTCCACTATAACACAAACAATGCTACCAATTGGCATATTTCTGTCCTTTCTTTTTCTATAAATCAATTTTATTTATACAGTTGTGATAAAAGTTTATGTGGAATAATATTCTATTTTTATACTTAGTTCTTGATGAGCCTTCTTAATGTTGCTACACCATCTTCAAAACCATCATATAAAATGATCATGAAAAATTTCGTTCAGTATATCATTAAAACTTTAATTTAGCTAGTCTACTATCATAAAAGATGTCTCCATTTTTCATTATTACAAATAATGCTGTTTTAATAATATATGCTGTTTATTAAAATTCTTAAGCTCAGAAATTATCCCAATAAACCTATTAGTAACTATAATTATGACCCCAATTTGCAACTTTTTGAATACTTACCAGACTAACATGCTTATTATATGACGTATACATGTGGGATGCCATCATCTCTACTGTAGTAAGTTTTTGTGGTTGAAGCAAGGAATTTAACCTGTCCACAATACTGATATCCAGTTCACAACATACTGGATTTAATTTAATTTGTAATTCTGCCTTCTGAGGAACTGAACTAAGTCTTGCTTGATTACCCTTAATTAAAAAAAAAAAAAGGGATTAATGTGATCACTAAAAAGTACCATAAAATTAGGTTGAAATCTTACAACTATGACAAAATGTACCAAATGAAAACTTCCAGGTGGTAACTGCACAAAAAGATGGCTCACCTGGGGTCCTCTATTCTCAGAATGCTTGTAATGAAGCTGAAGACACACAGGCAGGTGGGAATCAGTTCCTTCTTTGGAATGGAACATTAAGAGCTTAAGATAAAGATTAAGATATATTAAGCGTAAGACATACCCATAATTAATCACATGAATTAACAGAGGTGCCAATATAATAGTGGGAAGAGCTTTCTGAAGTCAGAAATCTGGCTTTAAGTTTCATTTTTGTCACCTATTAGCAGTGTAAATCTTAGACAAATTAGTTAACTTCTATGATACTAAGCATCTAAGCAAAATGTAGGTAAGGATTCAAATAAATTTGTGACCAAGAAAGTGTTTAAAAATTTATAAGGACAAAGTAACAGTAATAAATGTTATTTTGACAACTTCCTAAAGTTTCTCTAGGCCATACTTTTATATTAGGAAACAATCAGAATAAAGGTAAATAAACACAAGATGTTTAATCCGTCTTCACCAGTGCCTTAACAAAACAGCAGGCATCCAACAGTATTTGCTCAATAACAGAATTCTTCTGAAATGAAGAGTGCTTTGAAAAGGAGCGAAATGAAGTCATTTGTCTCATAACCTAAATCTAAAATTCTAACAGACTCATCGTGGCCCTGAATGCCATTCTTTAAAATCTGTTTCAGCTGGATGTGGCAGCTCCTGCCTGTAATCCCTGCACTTTGGGAGGTGGCGGCAAGAGGGCTGCCTAAAGCTCAGGGGTCGAGACCAGCCTGGGCGACATGATGAGACCTTGCCTCTAAAAAAGAAAAAAGAAATAAAATCTGTTTCAACAGATCACAAATGCAAAAAAAAAAAATATATATATATAATGACAATACTTCTCCCACGTAGCTTTCTATACATTTTAAAAAGAAATCCCTTGCCATTCATACAATTATTAAAAAGGAAGGGCAACCCCTTTGGGTCACCTTCTGCTCTGGGAAGTTTTCTGTCCTCTTAATAAATTCTACTTTCCTAACAAAAAAAAAGAAAAGAAAAGAAAGACAGACAGATTTTGAGGTGAGTGGATTGCATGAGCCCGCAGGTTCAAGACCCGCCTGGGCAACTTGGCCAGACCCCGTCTCTAAAAATAAATTAAAAAATTAGCTGGGTGTGGTAGCGTGCGCCTGTAGTTCCGGCTACTCGGAAGGCTGAGGCGGAAGGATCGCCGGAGCCCAGCAGGTAGAGGCTGCGTTGGCTGGGAGTGGCCACTGCACACCAGTCTGGGCGATAGAGTGAGACTCCAACTCAAAGAAAAGAAAGACAGATTTAAAGAATAATCCTAGGCCAGGCATGGAAGCTCATGCCTGCAATCCCAGCACTTTGGGGGGCTGAGGCAGGAGGATTGCTTGAACCCAGGAGCTCAAGACCAGCTTAGGCAATATAGCAAGACCTCATCTCTGTAAAAAAAAAAAAAAAAATTCTTAAGTTAGCCAGGTGTGGTGACGCATGCCTGTAGATCCAGCGTACTCTGAGGGCTGAGATGGAAGGATAACCTGAGCCCAGGAGGTCAAGGTTGTAGTGATAATCATGTCATTGCACTCCAGCCTGGGCAACAGAGTGACACCCCTGAACTTAAGTATTTTAATAGATTAAAAGAAAATTTAATATAAAAGACTCTTGTAATGGCCTCAAATGTCACACTTTAAAATCTACTTCAACATAGCACAATGCAAAAGATATACAAAATGCCAATTCTCCCATATGATCTTCCATATATTTTTAAATGAAAATTCTTGCCACTCACACAATTATTAAAAAGTAAGAAAGAATTCAAGAAAATGAAAAAAAACGACTTTTCCTAAAAGTATACAACATTTACCTCTGTATAGTGAGGAGGAACAGAATGAAAATCAGTTGGAAACAGGCACTCCAGAAACTCCACTTGTCCAACGGACATATCGGTACTAAAATATCGGGAAGCTGATCTTTGTCTTTGTTCATAGGATACTTTAACACCAGTACCTATAAATCTGTTATAAAAAATGCAGCATGTCAGAGTATCCACACACATCAAGATTAAACAATGTATATGTAGTCAGAGAATAGAACAAAATGTTAACATGTAACAATTATCCGCCTATTTTGACAAGTTCAAGTTGTTAGCAAAAACTAATATTCCCAAAAATATTAACCAGAAAAACGGTTTCAAACTTCCCCTTCTCTGCCATAAGCTAAAAAAATCAGTTCTGTTGATGGGAAGTTTTCTAGGATACATTTATTTCCCAGCACTATCCTTCCTTCTTCCACATTTTAAAAGTAACATTACAATAGATACAATCTTTCAAATCTGTAAAATACATAGTTTCTTAAAATCATCTTAAAACATCATGCGATAATTTTAAAACTTCAGTCAACTGGGCGCAAATGAAGTCTACCACTAGTTTCTGTTGCTTTTGTTGTATTTTATTATGGCAGATACTTGAAACCTTGTCAAAAATGAAAAGAAACAAATGCTTTTTACAGTTTGATTATAAATACTATAGTCCTAACCTGTACAGTTTCTCTTACAAGGTGTCAAACTACTTTGCATATCAATTTTAATACTTCAAAAAAGTGAAAAAAAATAAAAGCCCAAAGAATTTTATAAAAATATTAATGTGTTTAAACCATTTTATAAAATAACATATTACTCAGCAGTTTATAGACCACTTTCATGTTAAAGAGTGCTTGCATGTTAACAATGCTATACTAGGCCAGGTATGGTGGCTCAAGCCTGTAATCCCAGCACTTTGGGAGGCGGAGGCGAGAGGATTGCCTGAGCTCAGGTGTTCGAAACCAGCCTGGGCAACTTGCTGAGACCTCGTCTCTACAATAAATCAAAAAATAAGCCGGACGTGGTAGTACATGCCTGTAGTTCCAGCTACTTGGAAGGCTGAGGCAGAAGGATTGCCTAAGCCCAGCAGGTCGAGGGTGCGGTGGCCGTGAGTGTGCCGCTGCACTCCAGCCTGGGTGACAGAGTGAGACTCCAACTGAAAAAACAATGCTATACTTACAAATTCAATTATCTTCTCATCTATTAGGACTCAACTCACTATATAACCGCTGGCTATTTAGATGGCTTTGATTTTTCTTTTTAGGCAGAAGTTAAAAATGTAGCACCCGAGCTCAGGATACCCCTGGTATTATTTTTCACCCCAGGACCAGCAGCATTTGGACAGTTTCTAAGCCCCTTCTCGCTAGTTCATTCTACTCTCACCACCACTGTCATCTCTGCTAATGCCAGTGATGCTAACTGTTTGCATGACTGTAAAGGTGCCAACAGGGATAATGGCAAAATGCAGTCGAGAAACTTGACGAGAATGGGCAGGGAACGAAAGAGATGAAATAGAAAACTTCAGATTATCTAGATCTGCTATCCGCATTGTTCTGCAAGCCAAATAGCCTGAATAAAACATCCTATACTAAACTCTTTGCAGCATTGCAAGAAAACTTCACTCATTCATTTGCAAACAAAATGGGAATTAGAAAAACAAATGCAGATAGGTAGACAGATAGATACAAAAGTCCACATGTGGTTCTTTTTTAAGAATCATTAATAAATATGAGAGGTTTTACCTAAGGTGGTCATGTGAGCAAGCTTCAGCAAATACTGCTCGGAAAGACTTAAAATCTTCTGTTGAGAATCTTGCTGGATCAATCTTTTCTATACAAGTAAAGAAAGCCGTCGCCATAGGTGTCAATGGATTGAGGTTCAGGGATGTTTCAGGTGGAGATAAAGGATCAATGTGAAGCACAGAAATTGAAAAAGCCCCCACAGCTAATCTGAGAATGAGTTCAGGCCTGGATTCATCCACCGACACAGACCTAGACGGGAGAGCTAAAATACACATGTTAAAATTATATACATAAAACTAATGCTTAGAAAACAATCTATGGTACCAAAATTACACAACATTTACTCATTTATTAGTTGTACAAACAGATGATCACACATCAGCTTGAATGACATTAAACAACTGATTTAAATAAAATAAACTGTTATCTTGCTGTATTTTATACCAGTTTTCTATCCAGGATTTTTTTCTTTTTTGAGTCTGAGTCTCACTCTGTGGCCAAGCTGGAGTGCAGTGGCACGCTCACGACCACCACAGCCTCAACCTGCTGGGCTCAGGCGATCCTTCTGCCTCAGCCTTCCAAGTGGCTGGAACCTCAGACGTGCGCTACCACACCTGGCTCATTTTTTTATTTATTGTAGAGATGAGGTCTCGCCAAGTGGCCCAGGCTGGTCTCGAACCCTCAGTCTCAGGCAATCCTCTTGCCTTGGTCTCCCAAAGTCCTGGGATTACAGGCTGAGCCACCGCGCCCAGCCCTATACAAGATTTTTATACTTTAGGTACAAAAGGGCACATTATAATAGTAAGCGTATGAACAAGGCCTTTTCATGAATAAAACTGTACTAGAAAAGTCAAGATTAACCAAAGGCTGCTCACCCAACTTTCCCTTAAGCTTTGTGTCTACTTCAATTAAGTTTTGCAGAAAAGAGATCTGAGGTTCTCTTTCAAGGCATATATAAACAGTGAAACAAAAACCACAGGGTTGGTTGAGTCTCCTACTGTAATGATCACATGAGGCTCATGGTGCGCTTTTCACTATATTCTTATATTTAAGAATTTAGTTTAGACCAGGCTCGGCGGCTCACCCTGTAATCCCAGCACTTTGGGAGGCCGAGGCGAGTGAATTGCCTGAGCCCGCGCATTCAAGACCAGCCAAGACAACCTGGCGAGACCTCATCTCTCCAATAAATAAAAAATTTAGCTGGGCGTGGTAGCATGTGCCTGTAGTTCCCGCTACTTGGAAGGCTAAGGCGGAAGGATTGCCGGAGCCCAGCAGGTCGACACTTGTGTGGCTATGAGTGTGCCACTGCAATCCAGTCTGGGTAATGGAGTGAAACCCAGACTCAAAAAAAGAAGGAAAAAAAAGAATTTAAACATGCAAAGAAGCAAAAGAAGCAATGTATGAGCAACTATTCTATAAACTTCACAATGAATTGTTTGACAATGCTTCATTTTCCTTCTAAATGCAGCAGTTTAAAACAAAAATTGCGCCAGGCTCGGTGGCTCAGCCTGTAATCCCGTGCCTTTGGGAGGCTGGGGTGAGTGGATTGCCTGAGCCCGCAGGTTCAAGATCCACCTGGGCAGCAAGACCTCATCTCTACAATAAATCAAAAAATGAGCCAGGCGTGGTAGTGCAAGCCTGTAATTCCGGCTACTTGGAAGGCTGACGCGGAAGGCTTGCCGGAGCCCAGCAGGTCGAGGCTGCGGTGGCCAGAAGTGGCACTGCACTCCAGTCTGGGTGACAGAGTGAGACTCCAACTCAAAAAAAAAAAAATTAAAATAAAACAAAAATTGCTTCCGATTTTTAAACGTTTAAAAATTCAGTGGAAACAAATAACTTACCTGTCTTCTGTAAAGATGCCGGGTGAGCTAGATGGGATGGAAACGTTGACCCTCTTACTGGCTGCTCTTTATGATGATCAACAAAATCTCCCCACGTGGGCTGAAGCTATAAAATAATATTCTTTTAAGCACATGAATAAGTGCAGAATTTTAGAAGGAACTTTTCAAGAATAAAAGAAAAATTAAATACTTTACCACAGTTGTACTTAAAGGAGATCCCGCAGGGGTGTTTGTATAAGTACTAGTTAAAGATAACTCAAGATCCATGTTAGGGGGGTCTCCAAGGGGTGGAAGAGAAGAGAGACTATGCGACATGTCCATATCCGCCATGGAGAAGAAAACCTCTTCTTCTAGAGACAATTAAACTTGGTCACTTATAATTCTACCCATTCGAGTCTTTAAAGTTAATGTACATTAACACAAACTTCTTCCTTCAGATTATGAGATACAGTGAGGCCCCAAATTTTATGTTCCTTCCAATGGGGCAATATATTTGAATCCAAGATACTAATGGCATAGTAAAAACTCAACTGAATATAAGTTAACAAAGATGAAACTATCCTACTAATGAACATGTTTTGTTTTTAAATGTATGGCACACAGTATTACATGGTTTATTTTTATTTGCTTTTTTTTTTTTTGGAGGGGGGTCGGAGTCTCACTCTGTTGCCCAGGCTGGAGTACAGTGGCATACTCACAGCCACTGCAGCCTCGACCTGCTGGACTCAGGCAATCCTTCCACTTCAGTCTTCCAAGTAGCTGGAACTATAGATGCTGGCTACCACGCCCCACTAATTTTTCTGATTTATTGTAGAGACGAGGTCTCACTAAGTTGCCCAGGCTGGTCTCAAACCCCCAGGCTCAGGCAATTCTCTCACCTCGTCCTCCCAAAGTGCTGGGATTACAGGCTAAGCCACCACACCCAGTCTACATGGTTTATGCTTTAATATCAGATGACAGTTTAGGAGTTAAAATTCAGATTTTAAAAGCATAAGTAGGTTGGGTGTGGTGGCTTATACTTGTAATCCCAGCACTTTTGGAGGCTGAAGTGGGAGGACTGCTGAGCCTAAGAGTTCAAGACCTGCTTGGGCAACAAAGTGAGACCTTGTGTCTACAAAAAAAATAAAATCAGAAAATTAGTCAGGTGTGGCAGCACACATCTGCAGGCCCAGCTACTCAGAGAAACTGAGGCAGGAGGACTATCTCAGTCCCAGAGGTCAAGGCTGCGGTGAGTCATGATTGCGGCACTGCACCCCAGCCTGGAGGTCACAGTGAGACTCAACTCAAAAAATATATGTGGTATCAATATATCCCAACTTCTGCCTTCATATAGATACAGCTATTTTCTTCTTTTAAAAAAGAATACAGTGTTTAGAATTTCATTGACATTTCAGTTCCTTCTTTCTGGAGACTGTTTTACCCTCATGCAATGAAGTTTATTAGTGACAAAATTTCTTGAGTAGGCTTTAATTTTTATTTGGTTCAACATTCCACACTTAAATTGATTCTTATTATTTATGGTACTAATACTTGTATATTCTGAAATACCTTTAAATGCAAAGTAAACTGGATAAAGATTATACTTACATATAATGATAGATCAATAACGAAGTTTCCTATTTAAAGGAATCTACTATAAATTATACGAGCATATAATAATTTGCCAAGATATATCACTATCCCACTTATCTTTTATATAAATTTGCCTTTGTAAATGAGCTTTTCTTAGAATAAACTATCATTTGCAAAACAAAACACAATTTTAAAAAGGTACTATCATGCCCGTGTGCTATAATGCATCTCAATAGTACATCACTGGAATGTTTTTTGTTTTTTTGTTTTTTTGTTTGAGTTGGAGTCTCACTCTGTCGCCCAGACTGGAGTGCAGTGGCCGCTCCCAGCCACCGCTGCCTCGACCTGCTGGGCTCCGGCGATCCTTCCGCCTCAGCCTTCAAAGTAGCCGGAATTACAGGCATGTGCTACCACACCCGGCTGATTTTTTGATTTATTGTAGAAGATGAGGTCTTGCTGCCCAGGCGGGTCTCGAACCCGCGGGCTCAGGCAATCCACTCACCTCAGCCTCCCAAAGGCGCGGGATTACAGGCTGAGCCACCGAGCCCGGCACTGGAATGTTATAGTTAGATCACTTACAAGTTGAAACTTCCTTACAGAATCCTTTGTTCTCTCATTGCTAAATTTCTTTTCAACAGCAAAATTAAGCTTAATTTTATCTATGATGATAATACACAACTCTGGTGTCAACTGTTTGAGTTGCTTACCACGGCTAGAAGGTGTCCGCGCTGTTTCTGTCTCATAAAAGCTTTGCTCTGAAGACACACCTACAGAGAGGGAATCTTTCCTCAAATAATATCGGTTCAATTCCATCTGAATTCGATACTCATCTTCCTGTTGCATGGGTCGATTTTTCCTATCTTTATTAGCTAACCCTATTTTGCTAGAATTTTCTGTAATTACACAAAAGGAAAGTAAAACAGTAATTAAATTTAGAGTTGCCTAATTAAGTATTTCTTTCCTGAAACCCATTTATCTAATACCCATGGCAACCTAACACCACAGTACAAAGCTACTGCTATTTAATAAGTCAGAGATCTAAGCAACAGCTTTCAGCAACTATCCAAGAAGCACAAAATCTTATCTCTAATAGAGAGGAATCATTAAAAATATTTTTAAGTGTGTGCTACAGCCAGGCACAGTGACTCATGCCTGTAATTCCAGCACTTTGGGAGGTGGAGGTGAGAGGATTGCCTGAGCCTAGGGGTTCAAGACCAGCCTGGGAAATTGGGTAAGACCTCATTTCTACAATAAATCAAATAATTAGCCAGGCATGGTGGCATGTGCCTATGGGTCCAGCTACTTGGAAGGTTAAGGCAGAAGAGTTGCCTGAGTCCAGCAGGTCGAGGCTGTGGTGGCCATAAGCATGCCTCTGCCCTCCAGCCTGGACAACAAAGTGAGACTCTGACTCTGACTCAAACAAAAAGGAAAAAGAAAAATGAAATAAAAAATAAATGTGTGCTACTACTGTGTTCAAGAATAATTTCTTAATTGTAGGAAGTACTATCCCTCCACCAAAAAATAAGTCAGAACAAAAGTTAAGAATGTGATACAAATATGTGAATGTGAATTTGTGCCATGTTAACAGTTCAAAAGACTACTTAGGACTTGACTACTTAGAATCAAATTTAACTACTCAGAATTATAATTTACAATATATCTTTAACTGCACATATTAAAAAATAATAGATGTTCCTATATGTATATTATATATTTTAATTTTAAATTTCTTTCAAATTAGAAAAATAATAACAAGAGTTATACTTGCCTGGTCCAGCAATAGCTGCCAACATATCCAAAAGCAAATGCACTTGTCTTGGTGACAGGAATAGATGAATAGAATCTATCTGTCCATCAACATCCAACTTAAAAATAAAAATAAAGAACTATTCAAGATGAATACTCTTTATAACCTCATCACCATAAATTTCATTTTACATATATATGTGTGTGTGTGTATATATATATATTTATATATATACATATTTTTTAGGATGAGTTATCGAAAAGTTGCTGGGACTGGTCTTGAACCCGCGGGCTCAGACAATCCACTCGACTCAGCCTCCCAAAGTGCTGAGCCACCGAGCCTGGCTGTATTTTTGTTATATTTTAACACAGAGACAAATACTGATGGAGTCTGTAGCCTGAAACTCCTTCACCTAAGATTATCTCTACTGATTCACACAATCTAAATGAAAAAACTTAAAGGCCACCAAATGGTTGTTCTAAGAGGGAAAATCTTACTGAGAAATTCCAGGTTGGCAAGTCCAGTGTCATACTTCTTATCTCTTTAAGTCTTCTAAGCACTTAAGGCATTTGAGAAGGCCTTAAGACAGTTTCCAGGAAAGACCACTCAGATAGCAGTAGTACAGTACATTGTAGTACAAAATAGCTGAGTACAGCATTTGCAGACTTCCAAAGATCAAAATCCTCATTCCTAAGGTTTGACTCCAACCAAGAGCAAAGAAGCAGGCTTGCATAAAGCTGCCATGATCACACTCCATAGCAGGGCACAGAAGGACCTTCTCCAGCACCAACGTGCCTCTCCCAAGGCCCACTTCACAAGCCTGCTCGCTCCTGCAGCAGGGAAAGCCACTGCAAAAATGTGGACAGGCGATGATGCTTATGTGGACTTCCTTCCCCCTTCCAACTCTATCATTCCCTCTAGAAATAAAAGCTCCAGCCGGGCGTGGTGGTTTACGCCTGTAATCCCCAGTACTTTGGGAGGCTGAGACAAGAGGGTCGCCGGAGACCAGGGCTTCCAGACCAGCCTGAGCAACATGTCAAGACCTTGTCTCTACAATAAATCAAAAAATTAGCTGGGTGTGGTGGTGTGCACCTGTGGTTCCAGCTACTTGGAAGCTGAGGCACAAGGATCACCTGAGCCCAGCAGGTCGAGGCTGTGGTGGCCCTAAGCATGCCACCGCTCTCCAGCCTAGGAGACAGAGTAGGACTCCAACTCAAAAGAAAAGAAAAGCTCCATCTCACTCTCCTCCTCACAGTTGGAGCGTGTACTCTGACAAAAGCAATGAACCTTACTCTTCAAATCATATTCTTCTATTTTTATTTTTTTGAGTTGGAGTCTCACTCTGTCACCCAGGCTGGAGGGCAGTGGCACACTCACGGCCACCACAACCTCAGCCTACTGGGCTTAGGCGATCCTTCTAAGTAGCTGGAACTATAGGCATGTGCCACCAGGCCCAGGTAATTTTTTTCATTTATTGAAGAGATGAGGTCTCGTCAAGTTGCCCAGGTTGGTCTCAAATCCGTGGGTTCAAGCAAACCTCTCACCTCAGCCTCCCAAAGTGCTGGGGTTATAGCCATGAGCCACCGTGCCCAGCCCTCAAATCACATTCTAAAAAAGTGGAATCTCTCTGCATTTTTTTTTCATTCATTCCCTCTTAGCTCTAATATACTAACATGACTCCTGTTTTCTTTATGCCATTTTGCAATAGATAACCACAACTGAAAAATTATCCAATTAGTAAAACACATCTGGACTTGGAAAATATTAATAGCTTCTTCCCTAGAAGAAAAATAAATTCCTTCTGATTCTGAAAACAAAAATAAAATAAATTGCATAGTGGCTTTAAGAAATTTCCATGAAGCCGGGCTCAGTGGCTCAGCCTGTAATCCTGCGCCTTTGGGAGGCTGAGGTGAGTGGATTGCCTGAGCCCGCAGGTTCGAGACCCACCTGGGCAGCGAGACCTCATCTCTACAATAAATCAAAAAATCAGCCGGGCGTGGTAGCGCATGCCTGTAATTCTGGCTACTCGGAAGGCTGAGGCAGAAGGATCGCCGGAGCCCAGCAGGTCGAGGCTGCGGTGGCCAGGAGCGGCCACTGCACTCCAATCTGGGCGACAGTGAGACTCCAACTCAAAAAAATAATAATAAAATAAAATAAAAAAGAAATTTCCATGATCTAAGAATACATTCTCCGGTCATAATGATCATTTTTATCACTTTTTTCCTGAGTACTGGGGAACCATGCTAATAAGGGCATCTATATATCGCTTCTCTAATTCTTGTTACTGTTCCTGTCTTACAGATGAGGAAACAAGTTCACAAACATAAAGTGATTTGCACAAGGTCATGTAATAGATCCAGAATCAGATTTTAACCTAGGCTGACCAGATGAGAAGCCCTCAACTCCATTCACGGCATGGTTTTCCTATTCTACTCATACATTGCTTGTTTTATGAGGCTCCTTACTGACTGCTGACATCTCAGGCCATGAACCAGAAAAAAAATTAAGGCTAGAAGTGGGAAAATGTACTTCTGATTATACACCAAAATTGTTTTTTAATTTCTTAGTATTGAAAGCATAATCTCTGACCTTCATAAGAATGGGTGATCAAGGCTTTTATTTATTTATTTTTTGTCAGAGTCTCACTCTGTCACCCAGGCTGGAGTGCAGTGGCAGCTCACAGTCACCACAGCCTTGACCTCCTGGTGCAGGTAGTCCTTCCACCTCAGCCTTCCAAGTAGATGGAAGTACAGGTATGCCACCACGCCGCTAATTTTCTAATTTATTGTAGAGACAAGGTCTCACCATGTTGCCCAGGCTGGTCTTGAACCTGTAGGCTCAGGCAATCCTCTTGCCTCAGCCTCCCAACATGCTGGGATTACAGGTGTGAGCCACCATGCCCAGCCAAGAGTTTTATTTCTAATTAATGGATATTAAATTTTTCATAGAAGTATTTTATTACTTGTACATTCGAAGTTTTGTGTACAAAGAACAAAGTATATAATACTTGCTTTTGTAAATATAAAATATAGAACATAAATAAAACAAGCTTCAACTCAATATGGTAACTGACATAAAACATCTCAATTCAATACAAGTCGTCCCCTATTTTCATATAAAGGCATTCCCAAAAACATATGCTAGAACTGAATACATGAAACAGACTTGCACACTACAAGTGAGTACTATTCTGAGAAATAAAAAAAATTTATTTGGCCGGGCTCGGTGGTTCACTCTGTAATCCCAGCACTTTGGGAGGCCAAGGCGAGTAGAATGCCTGAGCTCGCAGGTTCAAAACCCACCTGGGCAATTTGGTGAGACCTCATCTCTACAATAAATAAAAAATTAGCCGGGCATGGTAGTGCGCACCTGTAGTTCCAGCTACTTGAAAGGTTGAGGCAGAAGGATCACTAGAGCCCAGCAGGTCGGGGCTGCGGTAGCCAGGATCATACCACTGCACTCCAGTCTGGGCGACAGAGTAAGACTCCAACTCAAAAAAATAAAACAAAATAATTTTTTAATAAAAATGTATAAAACATGGCCAGACATGACAGCTCACGCCTGGAGGCCAAAACAGGAGAACTGCTTGAGGCCAAGAGTTCAAGACTAGACTGGACAACATGGCAAGACTTCATCTCTACAAAATATAAAAAATTAGACAGGCATGGTGGCATGTGGCTGTAGTCCTGGCTACTCAGGAGGATGAGGTGAGCAGATCATTTGAGACCAAGAGTTTAAAGTTATAGTGAGCTATGATTGTGCCATTGCACTCCAGTCTGGGTGAGAGAGCAAAACCCTGCCTCAAAAAAAGGAAAGAAAATCAAAACAAATATGAAATCTTTCATACTATTTTGAACCTACAGTTTAGACTTAAGCCTAATGAACACTGGGAAGAGACTAGATCTGACAGCTGGAATACCCCTAACTAATGCCAGCTTTGTCTACACTGTGAAGGTTATGAGACCTGTGTCTCTAAAAAAACAGGAATGGTGGCACATGCCTATGGTCCCAGCTACTCCAGAAGGTTAAGTCGGGAGGATCAACTTAGGCCCAGGAGATTGAGGCTGCAGTGAGTTATGGCCACACCACCACAATCCAGCCTGGGTGACAAGGTAAGACCTTGTCTCTTACAAAGTGTGCCACTGCACTCCAGCCTGGGTGACAAAGTGAGACTCCCACTCAAAAAATAACAACAAAACAAACACTCAAGCTATTACTCAAAATTTACTGTACAGTCAAGGATGGTAATATCTCCAAATATGCATACTGGCTGGCAGATGATGCTACTATGTAATATTTCCAGATGTTCATTTGTCACTTAACACACAGAACTCCAAAAGTTACATATCTATATATTTATACAAATGTATACATGCTTTATTGCAAAAGGCACTTACACAAATCAATACATACTACACAAAAGTTTGGGTTTAAACAGTATAAAAAAGCACGAATGTTGAGGACTACATAAAATTAATCAAGACAGAACTAAAAGTTGCTGCTACAATTCCTCCCCAATGAAATGGCAAACATGCTTCCGAAAGATGTTCCCACAGCAGAGGATTCCCTGCAGTGTTTACAGTCCTTTGACTCTCTACTCTACCGACAATCCCTTCACATTATTAAAGACCCTCAAGACCTGGTGCAAGCATTCTGTGCCATCTGAGAGGGACGGGGCAGTGACGAGAGGGGGGAGGGAAACAAGTAGCAGGGGTGGCTTTGTCCTCGTCATCACATCCCCCTCCTCGAACTCCAGCCAGGCTCTCCAGTCCAGGGAAGGGTTTCGGGAGATTCTTCAAGCCTCTGAAACTCTGTTTCTCCGTCTATTCACAGGTAATCAGTGGCTCCCTCTGCCATGTTCCCACAGCAACTCCCATACCCCACGCTGTATCTTTTACGAAGGCAAAGACGGCATTTCACTCATCTGGGCACCTGTCCCAAGAACTTGCACAGGGTCTGGAGCACAGCAGTCACTCCAACATCACAACTAGGGAGCTCAGTGAATAAACCAAGAGATGAATCCTGGGATCTTCTTAGTTACACTACACTTTACAGCGATTATATAGAAAATTTGTCTTCAGCAGACACTCTTGCTGCCGTCCTGTCCATTGTGCCCTTCACAAGCTCTCTCTCCTTTAATAAATCTACCTCTCGGTCGGGCTCGGTGGCTCAGCCTGTAATCCCAGCACTTTGGGAGCCCGTGGTTTCGAGATCTGCCTGGGCAACTTGGCAAGACCTCATCTCTACAATAAATCAAAAATTAGCCGGGTGTGGTAACGCGTGCCTGTAGTTCTAGCTACTTGGAAGGCTGAGGTGGAAGGATCACCGGAGCCCAGCAGATCGAGGCTGCGGTGGCCGCTCCAATCTGGGCGACAGAGTGAGACTCCAACTCAAAAAAATAAATTAATTAAAATAAATAAATAAATCTACCTTTCTTAATTTAAAAAAAAGAAAATGTTTTCCAAGTATTAAAATAATACTTGACAAGTATATTTTTAACTGACTAAATAAATCCAAGTATCCTTATTCTCCAAAAGATTGATCAATGTTGTTCTCTAAGAAATAAACAGCCAAGCGTGATGGCTCACACCTATAATCCCAACACTCTGGGAAGCAGAGGCAAGAGAATTGCCTGATCTCAGGAGTTTGAGACAAGCCTGGGCAACATGGTGAGACCTCGTCTCTACAATAAATCAAAAAATTAGTCGGGCGTGGTGGTGCATGCCTGTAGTTCCAGCTACTTGAAAGGCTGAAGCAGAAGGATCACCTGAACCCAGCAGGTCGAAGCTGCAGTGGCAGTGAGCAGCGTGACATTGCACTCCAGTCAGGGTGACAGAGTAAGACTCCAACTCAAAAAAAAAGAAATACAGTTGTTTTTATACAGTGTCTTCAAAAATCTATGAGAGGGAAGGCCAGGCGTGGTAGCTCAAGCGTGTAATCCCAGCACATTGGGAGGTAGAGGTCTGAGTCCAGGGGTTCAAGACCACCCTGGACAAATTGGTGAGACCTTGTCTCTACAAAAAATTAGCCAGGCATGGTGATGTGCACCTGTAGTTCCAGCTCCTAGGAAGGCTGAGGCAGAAGGATCGCCTTAGCCCAGCAGGTCGAGGTTGCAGTGGCCATGAGTGTGCCACTGCACTCCAGCCTGAGCGACAGAGTGAGACTCCACCTCACAAAAAAAAAAAAAAAAAAAAAAGCACACACACACAAAACACAAAAAACCAACAAACGAAAAAGCTATGAGAAAGGAAACCTGCATACACTTTGGTGGGAATATAAATTAGTAAGCCACTATGAAGAACAGTTTGGAGGTTTCTCAGACAACTAAAAACAGAACTCTCATAAGATCCAGCAATTCCACTGCTGGGTAGATAGCCCCCAAAAAGGCAATCAATATATCAAAGAGATATCTGCACCCTCATGATGTCTGCAGCATTATTCAACGTAGCCAAAATATGGAATCAACCCAGGAGCCCATCAACGAATGAATGAAGTAAATGCGGTATATAGAGAGGGGAATACTATTCAGCCAAAGCAAAGAAATCCTGTCATTTGCAGCAACATGGATGGAACTGGGGGGCACCCTGAGTTGGCCGGGCAAGGTAGCTCACGCCTATAATCCTGGCTCCTTGGGGGCTGGGCAGGAGGATCGCTTCAGGCCAGGAGTTCAAAACCAGCCTGACAGCATAGCAACACCTCGTCATTAAAAAAATCAAAAAGTCAGCCGGGCACACTTGTTGTCCAAGCAACTTGGGAGGCTGAGGTAGGAGGATAGCTTGAGCCAGAAGCTCAACATCACAGTGAGCTCTGATGGCACAACTACACTCCAACCTGGGCAACGGAGCAACACCCTGTCTCTCAGAAAACAAAACAAAACAAAACAAAAACTGAGCTGCAGCAGTAGGGTAAAGGCCGTCCTAACATAAATTTTGAGACCTAGAACACCTAGAACCAGCACCAACTGATAGTAAAAATGCCAACTCCAAAACGGCAGGTACCTAGTTAGAGGATAATCTGTGGCAATCTGTCAGTGGGTCACTGTACAGATTAAGGAATGCTGGTACTCTCATTTTGGTTTTTACTATAGAAAACAGAAAATAAAATGAATACTGACCTTAGCTCCAGGAAGTACTTCATTCTGTTTCAGCGTGAGACTCAACTCCAACCTACCAATTAACCCTCCAATCTGCACTGGGTCAGAGGGTGCTATCTCTGGTAAATTTCTGGTCAGTTGTGGGTGTGGCTCATAAACAATTTTGGGGTTCCAGCTAGGTGAGAGCTTTGGCTCAGTTTCCTACAGTAAGGCAATAAAAATAATTATTTAAAATAGTTTCATGTAAACAAATTGAAATGCAAACTACAAATGTCAACTTAAGAAGAATAAAATATTTGACATGCAAAACCATATCAGGTTATTAAAAGCACATCAGTATCTTACAGCTAAAATGAAACACAGTAATGTGTGGGCACAGTACACTGATAATAAAAGCAAAACATGAAAAAAAATCTTTATGAAAAAAGTATGATCTCTGTTCAAGCTACAGCAATAAAAAAAACCTACAGACACTGTGTAATTAAGAAAACTCCGTTTGTGAAATGACATAAAAGGTAAATTATGAAATGACTGATTTATAAAAAGACTCTACACTTGGAAGGAATTAACAGAGTTCCTTAGGCCAGGTGCAGTGGCTCAAGCCTGTAATCCCAGAACTTTGGAAGGCCAAGGTGAGAGGATTGCCTGAGTCCAGGGCTTCAAGACCAGTCTGGGCGACTTGGTGAGACCTCATCTCTACAATAAATAAAAAAATTAGCCGGGCGTGGCGGCACATGCCTATAGTTCCAGCTACTTGGAAGGCCAAGGTGGAAGGATCGCCTGAGCCCAGCAGGTCGAGGCTGCTGTGGCCGTGAGTGTGCCACTGTACTCCCGCCTGGACAAGAGACTGAGAGTCCAACACAAAAAAACGAAACCAGAGTTCCTTAGTTATAAAGCTTTCTAAAGATAAAATGCCAGCAATACATTCACTATGTAAGGTAAATGTAAACACGGCTTGAATTCCTGCTTTTATTGTAAAAAAAAAAAATTATATGTTAATATAATACAGGCTGAACATCCCTAATCCAAAAACCAAAATCCAAAACACCCCAAAATCCAAAACTCTTTGAGTTCCAACATGATGCCATAGGTGGAAAATTTCACACCTGACCTCATGTGACAGGTCACAGTCAAAATACAATCAAACCTTTGTTTCATGCATAATATTATTTAAAATATTGTATGAAATTACCTCTAGTTATGTGTACAAGGTATAAATGAAGCATATATGAATTTTATATTTAGACTTGGGTCCCATCCCCAAGATATCTCATTAGGTAGATGAAAATACTCAAAAATCCAAAATTACTAGACACTTCCGGTCTCAAACACTTCAGATAAGGGATATTCAACCAGTATACCATTTTTGCCCAAGATATAGTACCCAACATTTCTCTATCAAACTAAAACACAGCACACTGCTAGAAAAGGCATTAATTATCAAGATGAGCATTTTTAAATCTCCGAAATATATGTCCCCATTATCAAACATTTGTGTTAACTCCCAATACAAATGGAGACTCATTAAAAGGTATTACATATCCTAGCAAAATTTAACAGCCCTCATTTAAATCTTTAAAAAAATCCACGATTATGTTTCTGGGGTTTTCTGTTTTGTTTTCCTTACCACTGGTGCAGTTGAACACACTGGGGAAGATTTTGCTGATGCAGAAAACTCATCCCAGAAGAGAGACACTCCAGAGAGCTGAAGTAACTTGTGAGCAAAAGCTGTAGGCTGATGTACATTCATTCCCGAGGATTCATCAGCAGTTTCATCACAGTATACAGTCCTGAAATTAAAAAAAAAGAGCATTGACACAAAGCTCCTAGGAAAACCTATCCACAGTGATAAGAAATGCACACATTTTTAAGTTAAAGGGATTGTTCAAGTGTTAGCACTTCTTAGAATATGCCTACAATGTATTGGGTCAGTATCACTGTGCTTCACTACAACAAATATTTTCATGAAAGGACCTTAACTCCAAGAAATACAACCATAAGAGGCTTAAATGTTGGAAAAAATTAATGACACTTCAAGGAAAACAATTCCTGAACCGCCCCCCCCCAAAACATTTCTTGGACAGTAAGACAGCTTCAGCTCCAAAGCTCCATGAATGACATTTCTTTTTTTTTTTTTTGAGTCAGGGTCTCATTCTGCTTCCCAGGCTACAGTGAAGTGGCACAACCATGGCTCACCACAGCCTTGATCTCCGGGGCTCAGGCGATCCTTCCACCTCAGCCTCCCAAGTAGCTGGGACTACAGGTGCATGCCACCATACCTGGCTAATTTTTTTTATTTTTATTTTTTGTAGAAATGAAGCCTCACTCTGTTGCCTCAGCTGGTCTCGAACTCCTGGGCTCAAGCAATCCTCCTGTGATGGCTTCCCAAAGTGTGCAATTACAGGCGTGAGCCACTGCGCCTCACCATGAATGACATTTCTTGAATTCTTAAGCGTGACTAATCTTCAGTTGAAACAAAATACAGAATGTGGTTCCAAATGCATGAGATTTAATTTTTTGAATATGCCATTTAAGGTAATATACCCTAATTTCAAAGATCTGTTAACAATAACTGTTTTACTAATAGTTGTGTTTTGGAAAAGGCAGACACCATAACATACCTGCCACTTAAAATTTAGTATCGGACCCCAAGAGATCCACATACGAAGTGGCTTTGGTGTTCACTGCTCAGTGTGCACACTTCACCCTGCTCATTTCTGCTGGTAGTTCACACAGCAGTCAGACAGTGAATAGTTACGACCTCGAATCAACACTTGGGGTATGCAAATTAATTCCTGCTTTGGAGCTATTTATAAGAGCTCCAGGCAGGCATACACAGAAAACTAAAAGCAATGTGTTTTTTACCTTCTGAAGTAAATCACTATTGCACACATTGACTTTACCATAATTCTCATAGAATCCTTAAGAAAAACAGTGGCCTTAGCCCTTTTCACTTAGATTAAGCAAAGCCAAGCAAAAAAGTCTTTACATAACAAAACATGCCTAAATACTGCATTCTTCATATGAAAAAACTGAACTCTCCCACAGGAGCACCTTAAACTTAGAAGCTCTCAAGTACTTATTATTTTGATTTGATAGTAACTAAAAAGAGAATTACATGTCTTGAATTCAACACAATATTACATATAATTATACCCCAACTGGTACTTTTAAGTTTTTTATAATGGGATTAGAATAATGGTATTACACAACATGACTTGAAGAGCAGCACTTTACTCTGAAATTATGCAATATTTTTATTTAATATCATTACCTCTAATCTCCAAAAGCATCCTGAAATATAATGTGAAAGTTACAGTAGGGTCAGTTGTTTTCAGATATAAGAATTCTTACCTTTCTATTCGAATTTCAAGTGCAGTTCCAGTTTTGGAATTTTCTGGCACGTGTTCGATTCTCAAAACAGTGTCTATAAAAGTGACTTTTACTCTTCTTAGTACTAGAGTAAACAAGTAATTGTCAATGCAAGAGGCCATAGGCATATTAAACACTTCCAATGAAAGGAATAAATACTAGTTTGATGAGAACTTACAAAATGAAGTCGAGCTTCTCTCCTTCAAAATCCCCAAATCCTGAGTTTTGTAATAAACATTTTGCCTTACTGAGCACTTACCCATCTCACCTCTTAACAGACACCTGGGACAATGACTAGCACTATCTGTTGAATTCTAATCCCTTCATGATGCAAGCATACTGAAATACTCTAATCCCTCTATGATGCAAGCATAGTGAAATAAGCAAAAAAAAAAAAAAAACTAAGATAAAAATTTTTTTTAAAAGCAAAAAAATTGAATTCAATATTTAAAATACCTCAATCATAAAGTTCTAAAGTGAGAACAGTACTTCTTTTAAAATTCACTCCAATGGACTTGACTTATACAAGGTTTATTAAATAAAGGTGCTAAATTACTATATAAGATCTAAAATTTTGAAAATGCTCAATAACAGCAAACCTGTTTCAATGGTTTCAGCAAACTTTTCAAGTCCTTCAAAAGGCTGGGATCCTTCTCCTTGTTCATCTGTTAGTTTCTGGCTGAGACATTCTTTTGCCAATTGCATGCTGCTGGTCATAAAACTTGACCAATACATAGGCTCAGAACCGGTTGCTGTGGAAAATAAAGATTAATCCTAAATAATTACAACAATGCCATTTCTTAAGATAGCACATTTCAAATAGATAAATTCTTCTTCTCCCATGAGATTTCTTAACTCCAAGGTGTTACCCAGGGAAACAATTTTCTAGAAATTACTCTTGAGTTTTAAATATTCCCTGAGAAGATTTTTTTAAAACACAGAAAAAAGCCCAGAGGCATGTGCTCTCATTATATATTTTTATCAAATATTAATTCATGTACTGATTCAACAAGTATTTAGTGGGTATCCCACACATACATGGTACTGTTCTAAACATTGTAAGCATGGGTTGACAAACTTTTTCTATAAAGGGCCAGGCAGTAAATGTGTGTAGGCAATATAGTCTATATCGCAACTATTCAACCACACTATGGTGCAAAAGCAGCCTTTGAAAGTAAATAAATAAGCGTGGCTGTGTTCCAATAAAACTTTATTTACAAAAGCAGGTGACAAATTCAATTTGGCCATAGTTTGCTAATACTGCTGTAGGGAACAGAAAAATTAACTATGAAATCTGCCCTAGAGAAACTGCAGTATACAGAAATAAATAAGATATGATTAAGAATTAGTAGGCAACTATTGAGCACCAACAGAAAACATTCAGAAAGCTAGAAGACGTAAATTTTTCTAGCTGAGAGAAGTAGCAAGAAATCTGAGATAGACAGCAGATGATACAGGCTTTGGAAATGAGTATAAGCGTAGATAAAAACAGAAGCTTATCCTTAAAGGAAACACATGAACTGCGAAAAATCATTTCCAGATCTTCCCTCACGAGAAATTCTACGCCTGCTTACATTATTCAAAACCAACTGACAGACAACTAGGATGACTGGTTTCCAGAATGGAATTTCAAAACCTTTCTACTGGAATTTTTTTTTTTGAGTTGGGAGTCGCACTCTGTCACCCAGGCTGGAGTGCAGGGAGGGGCACACTTGCTCATGGCCACTGCAGCCTCGACCTGCTGGGCTCAGGCAATCCTTCCACGTAGCTGGAATTACAGGCATGTGTAATCACGCCTGGTTAATTTTTTGATTTATTGTAGAGATGAGGTCTCACCAAATTGCTCAGGCTGGTCTCAAACCCGTGGGCTCATGCAATCCTCTCACCTTGGCCTCCCAAAGTGCTGGGATTATAGGCATGAGCCACTGTGCCCAGCCTCTATTGGAATATTTTAAATGTAAAGGAAAAATATTTAAAAGTTTGACTTTCCATAGAGAAATATTTTATCTACTCCTCATGGTTAACAGATAGAATATTCTTATAAATTAAATACCACATTAGAGGATTTTCATCCACGCATTATCAATTTTCAAAATACAGCTCACTGAGCATAATTTAAACTATAGTGTTTCTGGCAGCACTTGGGATTATAATTCAATTGCATCTATCATATCATACATATCTATCACACCAACATACACTTCACCTAGATTTATAAATTCTACCTAATTCTATCATTTGTTCTAAATGTATAAGTAGGCATTGTATTATAAAGAAGAGAATTCCTTCTCCCTGTCCACCTTACATATCCAGTGTGGACTTGTATCAGTATGGCATGTTTTTATCTAGTGTATTACAATTCATTATTGTCATTATTCTTTTTAACACTCAAGTTGTAAGGCCCTTGAAACCCAATCCTGCGTCCTTTTAACATTTCTCCATAAATCTAAGCACCCTTCCTTGCTATCTGGCACAATACTTGAATTTTTTTTTTGAGTTGGAGTCTCACTGTCGCCCCGACTGGAGTGCAGTGGCCACTCCCGGCCACCACAGCCTCGACCTGCTGGGCTCCAGTGATCCTTCCGCCTCAGTCTTCCAAGTAGCTGGAATTACAGGCGTGCGCTACCACGCCTGGCTGATTTTTTGATTTATTGTAGAGATGAGGTCTCGCTGCCCAGGCAGGTCTCGAACCCGCGGGCTCAGGCAATCCACTCACCTCGGCCTCCCAAAGGCGGGATTACAGGCTGAGCCACCAAGCCCGGCATACTTGAATCTTTAAAACACAAATCACTTTAGATAATTGGCAACAAATAATTACATAAACCAAATAATCTGTATACTAAAGTTTTTGTGAATGAATAGGGAAACAATTACAAAGGTATAATCCATACATACTCTATATAAAACCAAGATCTAATATATATATATATTTGGAGTCAGAGTCTCACCCTGTGCCCAAGGTGGAGTGCAGTGGCACATTCATGGCCACCACAGCCAGGTGATTCTTCCACCTCAGCCATCCCAGTAGCTGGAATTACCGGCATGTACCACCACAACCGGCTAATTTTTTTTTTTTTTTTTTTAGTTGGAGTCTCACTGTCACCCAGGCTGAAGAGCCATGGCACACTCACGGCCACCCCAGCGTCAACATGCTGGGCTCCAGCAGCAATCCTTCTCTCAGCCTTCCAAGTAGCCAGAACTACAGGCACGTGCTACCATGCCCAGCTAGTTTTTGACTTTTTGTAGAGATGGGGTCTCGCCAAGTTGCCCAGGCTGGTCTGGAACCCCCGGGCTCAGGCAATCCACTCGTCTTAGTCTCCCAAAGTGCTGAGATTACAGGCTGAGCCACCGAGCCGGGTCTAAATTTTTGATCTATTGTAGAGATGAGGTCTCAACAAATTGCCCAGGCTGGTCTCAAACTCATGGGCTCAGGCAATCTTCTTACTCAGCCTCCCAAAGTGCAGGGCTTATAGGCGTGAGCCACCATACCCAGTCTCATGCCCTAATATTTTATCAACTGACTATCTCACAAAAATAAAGCAAAATAAAAAATCAGATATTGAATTTCATGCAATCAGGTCACTTTCTCAGTCTCTGAAGGCTAAAAATAGAAACAAATAAAACAAAACATATAACACACACCTACCTAGGCGAGGTCTAGGTCGGAAGACCATTTCTAGCCCTTTCACTTCCAGTGCACAATTATCCTGTAGCAAGGAGCCCCATGGAACTGACAGGGAAATTGACTGAATGAATCCTTCAGTGACTTCTAAAGGCGCATCTGCTGATTCCAGGATTTCATTGAGGCACTAAAGAGAAAAATCAAATGCTGTTAACTTATTTAAAGATGTCAAACATGCTCACGCATACGTCAGAGATAAAGCAGAATCAATCTCTCTTGATACAAGGGAAAAGAAAGAAAAGACACGAAAAAACAAGACAAGAGAGGAAGCAAGCAAGCAGAGAGCGAGGTACAGGTGACTCCAGGTCTTCACTAAGCTTACAAGGTCGAATGCCATGAAAGAAACGAGTGATTAAAGCGGGATGAGTTGTATGACAGAGGAAATACATCACCCTATTTAAGCACATAACAGAACCTAACAGGCCAGCACAGTGGCTCACGCCTGTAATCTCAGCACTGTGGGAGGCTAAGGTGGGAGAATCACTTGAGGCCAAGAGTTCAAGATCAGCCTGGGCAACAACAAAATTTAAAAATTAGCCAGATGTGGTAGCCGCACTTATAGTCCCAGGTACTCTGGAAGCTGAGACGGGAAGATCGCTTGTGCCCAGGAGTTTAAGGCTACAGAGAGCTGTGATTGTGTCACGGCACTCTATCCTGGGCAGCAGAGCAAGACTCTGTCTCTTAATAAAAAGAAAGAAAAGAAAAAGAAAAAAGAAACTAATTCAGAGATTCAAGGCAGGCCACCTGAGGGAGTACTGTTTTGAGCTGAGACCAGAAGACTAAGGCGTTAGCCAGACGAAGTGGTCGAGGCAAAGAACATAGCACATGGAAGGATTTCAAGAAAACAGAAGTCAGAGAAGCACACGTATTTGACCCCAAGAGTATTTGGAAAAGAGAGCTGCTTTAGGCATTTGTGTGCCAGGGCCAGCGCCAGGGATAATGCTACAAAGATTGGGGGGGGGTGGCGTGGGATCTACAGAGCCTTGAAATGCAGGTTAGAGAGTCTGAAATTCATCCCAAGGGCCATGTGAAACCACTGGGGATTTTAAGTAAATATGCCATGATGAGATTCAAGCTTCTAGTGGGCTGTCTCTGCAGGCACGGAGAGCAAGAACTGAAGAAATGCCAAAAGTGGGCAGGAAGGCTTTGAAGGGCAACAAGCAGGAGAAAACGGTTGGCGAAGATAATCCAGGGCACTGGGAAGCTGGAAGTGGTGGACTTTCATAATATATTTAGGAAATAGAAAAATTGGCACCATGAGGGGTAAAGAAAAGAGGGAATTAAGAACGACATCCAGAAGCTGGGCGCAGTAGCTAACAACTGTAATCACAGTACTTTGGGAGGCAGAGGCCAGAGGATTGCCTGAGCCCAGGTGTTCAAGACCAGACTGAGCACACGGTGAGACCTCGTCTCTACAATAAATCAAAAAATAAGCTGGGCAAAGCGGTGCACAACTATAGTTCCAGCTACTTGGAAAGCTGAAGCGGAAGAATCGCCTGAGCCCAAAAGCTAAAGGCTGCAGTGGCCGTGAATGTGCCACTGTATTCCACCCTGGGCGACAGAGTGAGGCTCTAACTCAAAATAAAAATTAAATTAAATTTAAAAAATAAAGTATGGGTAACCCCATTAAGGACAATTTCAGCGGGATGGTGAAGCAAACCAGACTACAATGGAAAGAAGATAGAATGAACATAAATGCAGTCAGCAAAACAATTTAATACAATTTCTTAAGACAATGTACTTTTGAAATTAAAACAAAGAATATTAAATGCCAGTTTATATGTAAGAGGCTTTCTGCATGCTCCATTATAGGGTAGCACTGTCAGTCTTTGTCTACACTCTAATGTTGAATACACTTGGATTGACTCATGTTTTATCTTTGGAGATTACTATTTTTATTTTATTTTTTTTATTTATTTTTTTTTTTTGAGTTGGAGTCTCACTCCGTTGCCCAGGCTGGAGTGCAGTGACACACTCACGGCCACCCCAGCGTTGAACTGCTGGGTTCCAGCGATTCTTCCACCTCAGTCTTCCAAGTAGCCAGAACAACAGGTGCGCGCTACCATGCTCAGCTAATTTTTTATTTATTGTAGAGACGAGGTCTCACCATGTTGCCCAGGCTGGTCTCAAACCCGCAGGTTCAGTCAATCCTCTCGCCTTGGCCTCCCAAAGTGCTGAGATTAGAGGCTTAAGCCATCGCGCCCAGCCTGGAGATTACTACTTTAAAACGCTTTCTTCCAATTTAGGCTTGTGTAACCCTAAAGACTTTCCTAGGAGCACATGGGCATGGATGGTTCATTTTGTTTTTCAACTTGGAACATCACTCTGTCACCTAGGAGTCTCACTTTGTGCAGTGATACAATTACGGCTACCACGGCCTTGACTTGCTGGGCTCAGGCAATCCTTCTGCTTCAACCTTCCAAGTAGCTGGAACTACAGGTATGTGCCACCATGCCAAGCTAATTTTTTGATTTATTGTAGAGATGAGGTCTCATCAAATTATCCAGGCTGGTCTCAAACCCTTGAACTCAGGCAATCCTCTCACCTCACCTCCCAAAGTGCTGGGATTACAGGTGTGACACACCAGGCCTGGCCCATTGATAGTCTTAAGGTATAAACATCTTCAGTCTCTAACTATATTATTTCCTAAAATTGAGAAGAATACATAAAATGGTAGCATCATGTTTGGTCTCCTATCCCACCGTCCCTTAAACACTCTTCCTTCCCCCACTTAGCCAAAAAAGCCATATTTTTCTCCCTTCCTACATTCACCTTTATGTGCTAAGGTATAAAAACTTCCACAGGGGGCCAGCAGTAAGTACCTTTTCCAGTCTTTTCCTATCTTATGCATCGTTTTTGGCAAGGCATTCAAAGAACTAAGTGACACTGCTACTACTGCAAAATCCCTCAATTCTCATCTATTGATTTATAGCATCGATATTTCTCAAGTTTGTATCTAATTTAGACATTTAGAATAAAAGGTATGCTGAGGCCTGTTCGATTCCAGCTGTCAGCATACTCCGCTATGAATGCATGAACTAATTAGAGAGGAGGGAACCACATGCCACCTCTACCACTAAGAATTCATTTCCAGTAAGCTTTTATATTTAACTATAAAA